GAAAATTTTATTATTAATTTTTTTATTATTTTATGATTTCCCTTCTACGTGACTTTACTAAAAGAACCAAGAATATGAATCCCTGCAGTCACGAAAGCTTTAAATCGAAATCTTAATTCTCTTTCCAGCCTTGGCTCGATGCCTAACGTGAAGACTAACCCAAACTTTGAGACAAGTTATAGACCGCACACATAAAGCTGTGAGGGGTTCATTCCATTTCTGCCGATTAGGTCGACACGGCATTGGGCTGCAATTAATTCAGGGCTATTACGTTATATGTTTGTTTCACAATAGGATTTGTACATTATTTTTGTCAGTGGGTTTGAGACTGAAATGTAACGCAGGACTCAAACCCAGGATATGACTGGCGCTGGCTCATTATCCTGATGAAAGGAATCGCATTGGCCCATGGGTGGAGTTTGCGGGGGGGGGGGGGGGGTGCACAAGGAGGGGCAATGCCCCTCCCAAATAGTTTACAATTAAGATAAAATAAATATAATTATATGCACCCACGATTCCCAATGTGAGGGACAAAGTGAACCAATGCCCGCCCCACCCTGCCGAATATAGAAGACAAATTCCGCCTATGAATTCGCTTCAAAAGCCTCCCAACTGATTCCACGACTTTAGCACTGAGCCCCTCAGCCCTGATAGGATTCAGGGCTGAGGGGAGTCCCACGTTGTCATGCTTGTAGATCAGCTTCTTACCCGCCTAAACAAACACAATAAAAATCACGTGTCCCCTAGCCACCAGGAAGACAACTCGAATATCAAAACAGCCAAGAAGTGGGACATAACACCACCAAATCCTTGTATTTGAGTGGACAGTGGGGGAGAGCCGAACATGGCAATGACCAACTCTGAAAAGTAATTTAAAAAATGGCTTGACGTGAGTACTAAAACTCTACTTATTCATTCGGTGTTTACTGCCACGCTACAGTTCCTTAGTCTCAACCCAGTAACACAGCCAAACCAAGGCAGAGGGGGAAACAACTAAACTAGCCTATGGGAAATAGGAGACGGTCACTAATGTGGAGCTGCCACAGAGATCACTGCTCCTGTGATTCCATCGTGTCAAGCTTGGCGAGAGTATCAAAGCTCCAAACCACTGCCCAACAAACTTCTGCCAGAAGGACACCCAATCTAGTGGCCCAAGAGACCGTCATGGCCCTTCTAGAGTGAACATTAGATCGAAGAGCCAATCCCTGAGCCATGATCGTATACACCTTCTGTATACATACGCAGAACTGAGTTGCAACTCGCTGCTTTAGAGCCGCCTCGCCCTGATTTCCCCCCCCCCCCCCCCCCCGATGAAAACTAACGATACGGTCACCGTAGTGACAGGAGTAGTATTGTCGTAGCGAAGCAGGACCTCCCTACCTGCCATATCCTGTTTGCAGATGCGCCAAAGCCAGAGGGATGGCACACAGCTCGAGAACATTTATACAGGCATGACGATCGAATGATGACCACTGACCCTGGACTGCGAGGGCCCTGTAGCGGACACCCCATCCAAACGGGCTAGCATTTTTAAACAATCAGCTCTTCCTCGAAAAACTCGAGCAATTTTCCCCACTCCAGGTTGGCAGAATGGGACCACCACAGATGATTCCTCTTTTCATCTGAACCCAATGACCCCATGCTGCCTGGGAAGGGATTCCGTCTGGCCTGGAAGGCACCATTGAAGAACTTGCAAATTTTATTCGAGCCCAGTACATGGCATCATCCAATGCAGCCATGTGCCTCAATGCCACCAAGAAGGCACAAAGCCATACTCCCGTGGGCAGCCAGCAGGTTTGCTGATAGTAGCGGAAGGTGCTCGACCTTCTCGGGGACCACAAAAGCACGGACTTGCACTGTCAAGACCACCCCTAAATGCTTCAACCTCTGAGTTGGGGTGAGATGGCATTTGGCTGCAATTGAACATGGAACCATGGGATTTCAGCAGACCCAACCGTGGAAGTCTCAGACTCTGCCCAAACAAGCGGGTCGTCCAGAAACGGTTAAACGTGGTGGCGATGATGCCCACTAACACCTTGGTGAAGACCCTCATGGAGAAAGTGAGCCCGAAGGAAAACACTGCCTAAGACAACCCAGCATGCTAAAGCACAGACAACGCTGATGAGCAGTCACAATGCTGATTCACAGATATGCATTCTTTAGATATATGGATTCCAGCCAGTCCAGGGGCCTTGCAGCCCTTGCCATGGCCACCAAGGATTCGAAAACAATGGAATGCCTTGAGAGCCCACACCCAAAGGCTTCACCTGAAGCATTCATGGAATGCCGGGCCAACTGCAGATCGTGCCGGATCTTGAGGAGCTGTGCTTTCTCAGCCTAGCTCCATCGTGCCTGGTTCCCAGGCAGTTAATGGGTCATGATGGTCGGTTAATTTGAGCCAGACTCCTCCGTGCGTCGAGCCATGTGCACCACCATTCCTGCAGCCTACCATAATTCGCGAGCTGTTACCCGTCAGTTTCTTCTCGCGGTGTGCTTCGGCTCGACCAGCACTGCGCAACCTGGGGTACCATATTACTCGTCCCCTAGCTGGACCTAGCACCAACAGCTTGGAGCTCATACTCTTTGTTTTTTTCGGTAAAGTCACGTAGGTAAAATAAAATAAATGAAAACTAACTTTTTATTTTACCTACGTGACTTTACCGAAAAAAACAATGAGTATGAATCGTTGCAGTCACGAAAGCTTCAAATCTAGCTTGGAGCTCCCAGTGCAGGAGTTGCAAAGCAGTTCTGTAGGTGATAGCTCAGACATTTAAAAAAACAGTCTTCCTGGTGGCGGGGTGACATGTAATGAGGGGGTTCCCACCACACCTCCTCTACCCTGGAGGGACGGGGAACCCCGATTCATATTTCTGAGAGTCGGTGTGAGGTTCAGGGTTTGAGACGAAGGAACTTGTGCGTGGCATTGGCAGTCAAATGATCATCTTCAACTTGTATTGGTAGGTTGATTGGGGTGCCACGTTAGCGAGATGTTAACTACCTCGCCTGGTTTTCAGGAGGTCGTGGCTTCGATCCCGATCCCGATCTCTGACGCCTGTATATTTGGAGCTTGTATTTTCTCCCCGCGTTCGCGTAGATTTTTCTCCGGGTCCTCCTGTTTTCCCCTCTACATTTAGAAACGTGCATTTAGAGTATGTTGCTGCTATACATTCCATGTGATAAGCCACTTTGTTGAGCAATCATTTGTGGCCAGGTCGCTTCTGAAAAAAAGAGCTATATAGCCGAGTGGGTCTTGTAAAATAAAATAAAAATACGTAGTTTTAGTTTCATATAATTGCTGCCATGTTGTGGACAGCCATCCTAGAGAGTGCATGGTCACATGACCTTGCACAATTACTGATAGACAAGTTGGGATGTAACATATTGATTGGTGTACTGGGGCTTGACTGCAGAGACACTGCATACAACCCACCATACCAACGCAATTTACAGAAGTGAATTCTCATTATGTAAAAACGCACATATATATTGGTTTGGCAGTATTGGTGTGAGTTAATGGAGGTTTTATTAACTACTTTTGAGAAATGTATGCATACATTACACTGCATGTTATCGATGGTAAAGTATACCCAGTGTGGAATGGTTATGTAGTTAAGTTACAATGTTGAGCATTCCTTTATCCTACTAAATTGGAAATCTTCTTTGTTTTTTTCGGTAAAGTCACGTAGAATGAGAATAAAATAATAAAATAAGACAATAAAATTCTCACGACGTTTCGGCCACAACACAAGCAGCCTTCTTCAGGTGAAGGAACAAAACTGTCGGGACAACAGAGCTTCAATAAACGCTGCTAAGATTCGTAGCGTCTTTTAAGCTGGTTGAGAGAAGTGAGGCACCGCTTGCGTTGTGGCCGAAACGTCGTGAGAATTTTATTGTGTTATTTTATTATTTTATTCCCATTCTACGTGACCATACCAAAATAACCAAAGAAGATGGATCTCCAGGTATATTAATCGTTTGAATTTAACAAGCTATAATTACATTACTAGTATGTTGCTCAACATTGTTTAACATTTTACTTCACTACCTTTGAGTGACAATTATCAGCTAATCACTTGAAATCATATTCGATGAGTTTTTATTTTGAAGATGTTTTAAAATAAAGGTATGTTTAGGGCGATGAGATTGTTTTGAACTGGACGTATCCTGCTCTGAGTGTTAATATGGAATGTGTTGCTTAGTGCTGCATCCAGTCTTCAATGATCATCTAATTACTGGGCTTGAAAATGTATTTTTAATATATGTTCCCATTTTTGAGCTGAACTAAGCCATGATTTAATGATACATTATGCTGATGGTAATTATTATTAGTTTGCTTAATTTAATAATTAAATGTGATTTTAATGACCATTAATAGTGTCTTTACGAATATCATGTATAAGCATTCATGATGCTATTTCTTTTATTTTATAAATCACATTTTTAATTGGAATTGTGCTCAAACTAGAGCAACTGACTTGGGCGGGCCCCTCTTTCATGTTTGTCTCTTACAGTTTTTTCATGTGCGATTACCTAGAACAATAACGACGCCTTTTAAGCAGCACACACCACAGATCGCCAATACAAATTAAACTTTCTGTACTGTCCAGCAGGTAAGGATCTCACCTGCATCGCGGCACCGTTCCTGTGCGATCCACCAGTCCCACTTTAGAGTGGCTGTATGATTTAGTGATGCAAATCCAGCCAGGTGGCACCGGTTATGGTACTTGCCAATGAAAAGGATGCAAACGGAAATTTCAGCCGAATCCAAACCACAGCACATCATACGTTTCATAAATTAGCACCACTTTATTGAAAGCTAAGTGGTCATTATTTGGCGCCACCGGCGCCACCATAAGATTGTGGATTGTACACCACCGGTGGAGGTTACGGTAATCAACGTCGGCTCGTGGTATTTTAACTGCGCCATGCGAACGAGGCCGTGCTTCTTTAAATAACCCAGTGTGCGACGCGCGATGATGAAACTGTCAGTTGAAATCAGAAAGAGGGCAGTTAGAGTCCTTTATTTTTTTAACCAGGTGACACCGCGCACCTCCGATCAGCACGGTTGGCTGTGTTACGGTGCGATGGAAGCTCAACATACATCGATTGAAACAACACGCCTTTTGAAATGGAATGCTAGGTTAATGTAGGTGAATTTAATCACTTGCCAACAAGACCTGAGGAATAATAGTTTACATAAATATGAGTTTTAGAACAGTTCGTGCAAATTAGAAAAGAGTAACATGACATTAATTAGGTACAAAAAATTGCTTCATATATGCAATAAGTTAACACATTTATATTAGTACAAATGATAACATTTTAAATTAAATAAAACATACTTGAGGTAAATAAAGAGAACTCTCCATCATTATAGTAAACATTAAAGATCTGTATTATCCCTAAAACCACATTTTGGTCCATGGGTCAAAAGGCCGACCAGTTCAATGTTTTTGCACTGGCACTTTTGTCATTTGGTGAATATTTATTCGTTTGATAGAATAAAATCACCTCCATATTCCCTTGAGATGGAACATTTGCATGGGTTTTTCTGATGATAAACAGATCCTGGTCCATTTTTTGGGTTTTTCACAATTCACCAAGACATAAATAAAAATGTATTTGTGTATTTACAAACATTAACTTTGTGCAATAAAATCGATCAGGTGATAAGCGTGTACAATGAATTACAGACAAAATAGTATCATGCTTATAAGACTTAACCAAAGTTTGCATTTTGGGATTTGACAAAGATGCTAAGTCCAGTAATAATACGGGTTCCAGATGTGTACATGTAGACAGAGCAACCTCGTTCACTGCAATGGCAAAATTAGAGCAAGTCGTTTTGAGAAAAAAGAACTGACCAATGTCATTTCTTTTTAAAAACGATAAACATAAAAAAAAGTTTTACCAAGTAAGCCCCACTGAGCCATATAATATTTCTTTTTTTCAGAAGCAATCCGGCGACAAATGATAGCTCAACAAAGTGGCTCATCGTGCGGAAATGTATAGCAGCCAAATACTCTGAACGCATGTCTCTAAGTGTGGAGGGAAACATCGGAGGACCATTTTCAATCGCCTACCAGAATAATTACAAACATCAAGGTCATTGTGGCAGGTGGGAATGAGTTTGCTCAACGATAAACTAATGCAGGATGGGAAATTGAATCTCAACTCATGTAAGGTTATTATTGGAGCTGCCCTAGTTTATAATGGCATAAATGTTGAATAATTGGTTTTGGAAGTGCAGGTTCATGACATTGGTTGTGAAGTTTTGGGGTAGGAAGATTCTCATAAAGAGTTGAACATGTATATTTCTATGTATATACACTTATGCATCTGTGATATATTGCACATCTAGTAGGTTAATGTGTTCGTATAATATCTAAGTATATTTTTTATGTGTACATATACTTATATAACATTTGACAATATAGTCTTTTTTAATATATATATAAGATATAGGTTTTCATTTACGTAAATTTTTTTTTACCATCGCTATATTTATTTCCTATTCACAGTCTAAACCAGATGGAATATTGCAGTTCGCTAATACTGCCAACGCTATTCGTGCATTGGTGGCATATTTTCAACACGCACATTTAAGAACACACGCATGGAAACTATAAGTACGTAAGTGCAAAAACAAATGTGGCAGATTCACATTGGAATTCCACGCAGTGCTGCATGTCCCATGTGAAAGTTCTGGAAACGCAGTCAATCAACGGACTTTCAGGAAAGCTACTGCCATTGTTTTGTTCACTTTCGTCTTTTTCAGTTCATCCATGTCACTGTATGCCACTATGCATTAAACCCCAAGCAATGCCCAACCAAGAGTTCACCATTCTCTTGGCTGTTTAATGCTAAAAGCAGACACACACAATCTTGCTCTTTGTTACTTCGCACAATAATGCCTCTCAATAGAATTTGAGTGTAGCCTTGGGCTGATTTAATGCTTTCTGTGGTGTGTATTTGGAAATGCATAACACAAAGCACTTCATGCAAGCACTTGCATGAAAGCACAGCCAATCTGCACATGGTGGAGAATCGTGTGGCAAACACTTTTCCAAATACACCTGGCCGAGCGGCAGGGGTGTTCGGCCATTACTGGTAAACCCACCATGCTATACCCATCCTGCAATCTATGATAAATAATTCACAGTACAGGATTATTTGCTAGAGTCTGCATTATATAGCTCGAATGCTCAAAGCCATTAAGATCCTTTAATGTATTATGCAAGCCAGAGCTGAAGTCAATTTAAAAGCTCAAATAAGCATGTGATGGTATCCATCTCCATCGGTACATCCAAGCTAGTGGTGTTAATTCCACATTACAATGCTAAGTACCAATCTCACCAAAGCATAACCACTGCCGACTTTCTACAAAGTGGTGTTCATGTTTTTGGTCAGGATTTGAACTGGCAACCTTCTGACGCAGCAGCACTTCGACAGATTAGACCTTACCAACTGGAGCAAAATATATTCACTGATGCAGAAGATGACTGCCCTGATATTAAAAGTAAAGGGCTGTAAAATGCACTTTGAGATATAAAAGAAACTAAAGCCCCAAGGCCTAATAAAATTCTGGTTTAATGGGACAAAATCTCAAGATTGAATTGCCCGCTGTATTAATTATGTAACACTGATGAGAATTAAATTATTTAAAGACAGATGCCTCAGTCTTCATTCGTGAATATTTTCAATAAAATTTGACATTTGATAAACAAATCGTTCATAAACAATTTACAACTCTGTAGCATTCATCATGCCAGGTGGTGCTGCGGTGAGAGAAACTTCACTCATCATTGGAAGATTGTGAATTTAAGATTGAAAAAAATTGACTCAATGTGTATCCGGCGGTTACGAGAGATACTACACTCGAAGTGGGGGAGGGGCATTCTACAGGCTGTGTCCTCTGGGGCAGTGACTCTTTCTGTAAGGAGTGTACTCGTTTGGGAGTGAGGAGGGGGGGGGGGCATTTTATACTTAAGTATGGTCAAGGAGCGACTGCCAGATGAGTGGAGGGGGGTGTTAGGGAACTACAGACCTAAGAGCTTTCCTCTCATTTTGAGGCCTTCTAATCGGGGGGCACAGTAGTCAACTATTTCCTTCTGTTTCAGACCCTTCTCCTTGGGGTTTCTGGGTGGGTGTGGGGGGGACTAGGTTGAGTGGACTGCTGGGGAAGGTGGGTGCGATTAGGGAGATAGGGATATCATTCCATGTAGGAAGCGAAGTCGACATATCCTGTAGGTGCGGTGGGGAATCCCTCTGGAAGAGAGTGGGGGAGGGGTTGGGGGATTTTTACACCTACATATCTGATCTGGGTTGGCCACCATCTGAATGGCGAGAGTGCGTCTGGAGGCTTGGAAGAGACTGGGGAAAGTGGCATTAGTTCCGATGTCATTGAATTCAAATCATAGCCAGAGATCGTGGGCTCGGATACGGTTGGCAGGATGTCGTCTGCGTCGAGATTTTTTTTTCTTTCTCTCGTCGCCTTGCGTATTCCGAAAATGCCTTGACTGGATCTGAATTCCAGTGCCAAGAGAAAAGGGGCAGGGGGGGGGGGGAGAATTCCTTGCCTCGTGCCTCGACTCAGTTGGAAGTTCGGGGAAATCCAGCTGTTGGGTTTGACTGTCGCAGGAGGGTTTGGAGTATAGCTGCTTGCAAGTGTCTATGAACCGAGTGGGGAATCCGAATTTTCCAGTGGCCCTTGGCAGCTATGTCAATTGCATTTTATTAGAGTTCTGATGTCAAATCTCTGCTTCTAATGAATCATGTTTGAGTTTCGCTGACTAGGCTCAAAAGAAAGCTGTCTCTGGTGTGGACCAATCAGTTTCAAAGGCAATGCATTTCTTATCAGAGTATGTTTTTTGTTTGCATTCTAACCACAAGTATTGTGGTTAATGCAGACATGATTCCTTGTAAAAAGGTTTCAGTTTGTTTTGTTGCCAGACAAAACGGGGAAAACCTATTCTCATCATTACCGTAATGGAATTACATCACAGGATAGATGATCACATAATTTAACATAATCATAATTTGGGCTTGTATAGTTTCTAAATGTCCTTGCGCAGGAGGTTAGTGCAATGCATGAGAGGCCATTTCGCCTCCGTGTTGAAATACATCTGCGCTGTACTTATCATTACGTTGTTGTGGAACCGTCCATATTAATGTCAATACCGATACCTGCCAAGTAACATTCAGAATCAGTCTGTGAACGCACGATCGAGTTCGTCATTTATCTGTCTAGACCTGCGGCTCCGGAGCCACATGTGACTCTTTCAGGACCGCTGCTTCGTGACGTTATTAAGGACCGCCGTCACGTATTTACCACGTGCATTGTGACTCTTGAAATTTTAGTTTTTTTTTTTTTTACCCCTGGTCTAGACCTACATACTGGTCATTCTAGTCCTATCAAAGACCAGTACATAGGAGTCGTCTCTGTACATTCATATATAGTCTGTTCAGTCTGGCACCAACCTAATGCTATGGTGGACTAGCATATAAGTGAATGCCCTGTGTAAACACGCATATATCTGTACTGTGTAGCCCTATGGGTGATGAATACACAATCAGCATGTCCAATAATGCAAATGTCTCATTATTCTTATACCTGCCTAGTCCTGTTGATAACAACCTCTACAGGACTTCTATCCCTGCTCAATCCTCGCCCCCAGTCGATGCTCTCAAACTTTCTCACTCTTTGGTCTTTGCGCCGGCAATTGCCGAAGATCCATTTCCGGCCACGGCAGAAGCCACGGCCGGAGCTGTGCCACGATTTGTGGTGGTGGTGGCCGTGGCAGGGGCAGTAGCGGGGGCCTTGGAAGGCGTCGTGGCAGGCCGCTGTGCGCGCTTGTTCTGCCTCTCGCACAGCGCCCGCATCTCATCGAGGCTGTCGTGCAGCGCGCGGGAGAAGTGCTCCGAGCCCGTGGTGGGGTCAGAGTGGAAGCTGGAGATGCAGAAGATGAAGTGGTTGTCCTTGGGGTTGTAGGAGACCCCGTAGCCATCCGGCACCACGGGGCCATAGCACATGAATGCGTCCATCGTGGTGGGGATCTGGGGTTCAGAGGATAGAGGGATGGCGCTGACAAATCACATGCGTATTACTCCTGCATTAAATAATCTTATTTATTTTGGTCCTCCCTAAGCTGTATAAGTCAGGGTTTCTTTCACCATATTTCATCATGCTGGTAAGTGTGGGCTGGTGAAAGGATAGCCTAGGGAGATATCACTTGCCACCGATGTGAGCTGTGGCTTGGAATCAATTTCTATCACCCAAGTCTCCAGTGTTCTGTAATAACCAAAGCGTTACCACCCGATCCTATGCAGAAATATACCCCTTTCTTTACACGAGAGTTGGAGGTGGCTGGGTGGGCTTTGAGATCATATCGTAATGAGCGACTTCCGCGATACGTCGTTTAGAGGGTACTTCTTCTTTATTCATACACGGGCACAACACAGGCCAACCTTATCTTCTCATTCTGAGTACAACACTTAGATGTTAGTGTCTCTACTGGCTACACACACGGTCGATCACACGGCGTGGTTCCACCCGTCCACTCTCGGCTCTATCGCCGGCTGGCGGCGTGCCGGGAAGGGCGATGGAACCCCGCAGGAGATCTTCCACGTGGCCAGACGAAAGAGAGAGATGACGGCAAGTATGTATGTATGTTGAACTTCCTTCGCACCGAACGTAGCCAACTGTGCTAATTGGAGGTGTGGGGGAAGGACAAGTCACCTATGACTGCATAAAGATAATTAAATTCAGTTCACTTAATTCGGCATACTTCAGCTCTGTTAATTAAATATGTAAATGGTATTGACATGCAATGGACACTGCAGAGCATACAAGAAGGGTTAACCCCATCGGGGAAAAAGAGCTTATCAAACTGACTTGCGAACGTAGTTCTGTAATGTCAACTTCCACAGCCGTTATCTGAGACAAGCAGGTGAACTGCTCAATTCAAAAGCTTCAAATTGAATTGGAATGCTATTGTGTAAGTATATTTTGGTAAATAAAAAATCTAAGCAAAAAAATGTGTATCTCTGCTCTTTCAATGTAGTTTACATGGAGACCACCAACAATCTTACCTCTGAGCACAATACATCTCTTGCTCTCCTTCTGAGAGGTTCATGCATTGCTTCTATATCAGTCAAGAGAGCTTGACTTTAAGAAAGCAACATTAACCCTCTTGGCTTTGAATAGTGATGCGTGTGGGAGGATGCTCGCAATTGCACGGCAGTACCAGGATAAGTGAATTAGAAATTTTAAATAATGTGGCAAGCAAGCATCGTCAATGTAATGAGGAAGAGGTTGGCATGGGTGCAACATGTGTGCTGGATCGAGAGGCCAGGTAATCGACACAGACATTGGAGTGAGCCTCATAAGTTATTGACCAGGGCAGGTGAAGAACTACAGCCGGACGTGGAAGACTGTCAGAGTGACCTTGAAGGTCGTCAGGCAGTGACAACAGTCGACGCAGAGAAGTGATGGAAAGGTGTGGTGACATCATCAGAAATGGCCACGATGGGCTCCTCAACTTGACCCAGTTGCTACATTTAGGGGGGAGGTGGACCCCTAATGGACTAAAACCTCAATAATATAAAAAAGGCATTATTAAAAATTGGACATACAAAAATATAAGATAATTATCGGGTGTAAGTAATTATTTACATTAAAATAACCCCAAACGCTATCACTTTTATTGTAAAGCACAGGAAAGTGTATCACCCTTTATCATTAATGTATGTATGTTGAACTTCTTTTGAACCGTATGGAGCCAACCGTGCTAATCGAGGGTGTGGGGGAAGGACAACAAACTAAGTTGTTTAGGAATTAATGGGGTTTGTTAAAATCTAATTATGCAGTGATATGTAATGAAACATACTTTTACAGCATTTATGTTTCTCTTTCCCCCCAAAAAACATTCCAATTGTGTTATCAGCAACCTGTTAATGAGATGAAAACATCCCCTCATTGTAAGCAATGCATCATCGAACGGATGACTTTTGGAAAATGCCAAAGAGCTACTTCCGAATTAATTTCAATGGCATTTTAGCTACACTAGGTAGTGCACCATTATATGTCATGCAAATAATATTATTAGTTTTTAGATCTCACAGGTGGAATAGGCCCACGTGCTCTCAGATTAGTCCTGTACCCACTTGGTCACCTCTATTTTTGGTAATTTAGCCTTTGCATTGATACATGTGTGGAATTCTTCGCAAAGCAAAAAGTATATTTGAACAACGACATGAAAACGGTTACAACACACGTTTTTCGCTGTAAGTATAAGGATATACATGGTAATATGTAGATGTTACCATGTAGATTCAAGGGGGCCTCACGGTGGTCAAATGTTAACTAACTCGCCTGGTATACAGGAGGTTGTGGGTTCCATCCCGACCCTGACACCGTATATTTGGAGTGTGCATGATCTCCTCGTGGTGGCATGGATTTTTCTCCGGGTCCTCCGGTTTTTGCCTCCACATTTAGAAACGTTCATTTAGAGTTTGTGGCTGCTATAAAGTTCCACGTGACAAGCAAACTTCGTTGAGCTATCCTTTGTGGCCAAGTCGCTTCTGAAAAAGAGCTATATTGCTCAGTAAGGCCTTACCTGGCAAAATAACAAAAAATAGTTTCGTTATTTTTGTTTTAACAAATGTTACAAGAGTCACGTGACAGCGATGTCACTGGCAATCTGGGCAAATCTTGAGGGTCAGGTGACAAATAATTGCCGGTGGTATCGCAGGTGGCCCAGCTGATCACAGCGCCGAAATCTGGCGACGTGAATTTAATTGAAAACGCCAAAACTTCGAACGTAAAAAAACCTGCGCATTTTCCCAGAGTGCAATTAACAGCATAATATTGTAAAAAAAAATTGTAAAAAAAAGAAATCCGATTTGCACACGTGGCAATTATTTTGCCGACTGTAAGGCAGAAATGATTTAGGATGGGCCGAGAATGATTAAGGAGCCAATTAAAATTCAATTAACACAGGTGCAGTGGTGAATGGCATGGGTCCCTCTTGATGCTGCTCAGCTCTGGATGATCGCCATCGGCCCCCGACTGGGGTTCCCCATGCCGTGTAATAGATTATTGATCTCGGCTGTGTCATCGATAACACGGAGTCGCGCGTGTTGCACCGCTGCCACTCGCTCCACCCACACGCACGCGGGAAGGTGCTCAGAGAATGAATCGATTCAATTAGGCCCACATCGATGATCTGAATGTGTTTTCGTCAACGTCCGATTTAACCCCCAACAACAAGCATTTATATTTAAAGCAGGCACTGATCCCAATAATGTTTGTTTAAAATGGAACTTAACCCAGTATCGTATTTTTAGCTCTAAAACCTGGTTTAGATGTGTCCTGTAGCTTGCTCCATTAATTAAGGAAGGACTCACCACAGCTCTTCATTCTAAGTGTATTTTTTTAAGGGCTTAATCTCAATCCTAACACTATATCTTAAGCACAGGGTGAAACCCTAACGATATACCTTGAACACATGGTTAACCCCTCCCTCTATGCCTTTAACAAATGATTCAATGCAAAACCTATACAGGGCTAAGCCATACAGCAATATATTAATTTAACACATCAATTAATGCTGACCCTATAAATGTAACAAATCAGTAAAACGTAAGCATCAACTTAGAACATTTAACCAATAATTCAACTGTAACTTTAATCTTAACAATGTGGTCGTGCGATGGGCAAACTGGTCCCAACTGTGGCAACGTGGAATTTGTATCACTGACTTAGGATCACACTGCCCTGTCTTCATGGGGCTACACTGATTGACATTCTGACTACTGTAGTTGCCCTTTGACACGGGATTCCTCCCCAACGTGAACCGTACTTATATGTGTACTTTCCTTTTTGTCAAATTCTTAGAGCACGGGGGGTAAAATTTACAAGGTGAATCTGGCAAGAGGTGAATTGTGGCCCACGACCCTCATCCCTGGCCCCTATCGTACTTTGAAATCAGCTCGGCGGCGTAGCCTAATGTTCCTCCACGGTAAAGCTAGTCTCTTCTTTGGTTCTTTCGGTAAAGTCACGTAGAATGAGAATAAAATAATAAATTGATAAAATAAAATAACACAATAATATTCTCACGACGTTTCGGCCACAACACAAGCGGCTTTCATCAGGTGAAGGGACTAGACTGTCTGGTAGGACAGCTAAAGTTGAGGGCGCTTTGTTCCTCTCACACAGCTTAAAGGCCGTGATCTGAACGTGGCTCTTTCACTCCAGCGCTGTCCTACCAGACAGTCTCGTCCCTTCACCTGATGAAGGCCGCTTGTGTTGTGGCCGAAACGTCGTGAGAATATTATTGTGTTATTTTATTTTATCAATTTATTATTTTATTCTCATTCTACGTGACTTTACCGAAAGAACCAAAGAAGATGAATCATTGCAGTCACGAAACCTTTGAATCGAAAGCTAGTCTCGTTTTGTAGAAGGCCAACACCGGACAAGTGTCGATTCACTCTCCCCCAGTGATTCTTTATTGCCTCATGTTTACCATCTGATTTTCAATGTCTCTCCTATTATGTGTCTTGTTTGTTGACATAAATGTAACAACGTAATTATTATTCTTGGTTCTTTCGGTAAAGTCAAGTAGTAGGGAAACAATAAAAATAAAATAAAAATATATTCATTTAGCACATCAATTAATGCTGACCCTATAAATGTAACAAATCAGTAAAACGTAAGCATCAACTTAAAACATTTAACCAATAATTCAATTGTAACTTTAATTATTTGTAGTTTAACGGTAAGTGTCCTTCAGTTGATGTCCTTTTGAAGGGATTATCCTTTACCGTTGGAAAGTGTAATTTCCACTTTTGAGTTAGCCTGTGAGATAACTAAAAACCAAATTGCCCGAATTGTATTTTACCAGGGAAGGGCCACTGAGCTATATAGCTCTTTTTGAGAAGCGACCTGGCCATCACAAATTATATTCTAAACGCACGATGATTCTAAATGTAGAAGGAAAAACCAGAGGACCCGGAGAAAATTCCACGCGACCATGGGGAGAGAACTCCAAATATACAGCAGCAGCAGGCGTCAGAGTCGGGATAAAACCCACGACCTCTTGTATACCAGGTGAGGTAGCTAACATCTCCTAGCCACCGTGATGATGATGAGAGAGAGACACGCAATCTCCAAATATACAGCAGCAGCAGGCGTCAGAGTCGGGATATAACCCACGACCTCTTGTAGACCAGGTGAGGTAGTTAATATCTCCTAGCCACCGTGATGATGATGAGAGAGAGACACGCAATCTCCAAATATACAGCAGCAGCAGGCGTCAGAGTCGGGATATAACCCACGACCTCTTGTAGACCAGGTGAGGTAGTTAACATCTCATAGCCACCGTGATGATGATGAGAGAGAGACACGCAATCTCCAAATATACAGCAGCAGCAGGCGTCAGGGTCGGGATATAACCCACGACCTCTTGTAGACCAGGTGAGGTAGCTAACATCTCGCCACTTTGGCGCTCATTGAGGTGCACAGACAATAATTCACTTTGACTTCACTTTATAGCTCCGACAGTGTGAAACCAAATCCCGAACCTGCACCCGCATTTACGAACAAATCAATCAATAACACATAGTGATGCAGTGAGGAGGGGAAGCACACACCTGACTGGTGGACAGAGCAAAGAGGTTGCTTTGGACGTAGGTGATGTCCTTAAAAACCTCGGGGAGATCGTGGTCCAGCTCCCGCGCAATCTCCCGTAGCCCCAACATGTGACAGTCAATGGCCATTCCTGTTATAGCCTGAGACAACAACATCATCATCATCATCCGCGATCAACAAACTGCTGAATGAAGACTTCCCCAAGCCCTCGCTATCTCTCGCTGCCCTACGATGTAACATTTTACCTCTGCATACGATCCGATTTCATTGCTACATCCACGTGGTGCACACCCCCTTGGCTGCAATTCCATCATTAGTCTCAACCACCGGTCATCATCCCTTCTGGTGACATGTCCTACTCAAACCCCCTTGCTATTCTTAACAGCCAATGTCACATATTTAACGTGCGTATGCTCTTTAATCCATCTGTTCCTGCAATTATATGAGCCTCTGACGCACCGACACAACCTCTCATTTCCGTGACCACTGTAACCAGTGCCGGCACCGGACCAGCCCGGAGTTTTAAGCCAGAGCCGTCTGTACCCATTGGCGAATCCACTTTGTGTGCCTGGTTCCCTAAGTGGGCCTGAACGCTCCCTTCTCTAACCGTGTTACACGCTCAGAGGGGGTCAACAATGGGTTAACACGGAAACGAGATGTGCGCTGTCACATCCCCTCACATGGTTTAACCATTGGGGTCATGTCATTGTTACATCTACACGACAGAACGTTTTAAAACATGAAAACAATTGCTGTACTTAAAAATAGCCTAATCCAGCAACGGCTTTCGGGGTGAAAATGTAAAGTATTTTGCTGCACTGCCCTATTCTGCCCACAATGCCTATTGCACCTATCTTTTGCTCATGGTGCTCACCCATCCAAACACCATCCAGACTCAATCCTGCCGAATGTCCGAGATTGTACGTTGATCGGGTGCATTCATTTGTGATTTTGTTATAACCAATAAGATATTTGTGCATATATATGCACATACACACATACGGGATATAATCACTCACAAGTATGGTGTAATCCGTCTGTGCCTGTATCGCCTTCCACAGGAGCTCCATTCTCTCAGCATCCTGAACGGGGGAAATTGTGGTCACAAGGGGAAAGGAGAAGTCCCATTATGAAAAGCTGAACAAAGTGGCAGGGAGGAGGGAGTAGGCAGTGGAGGGGTTACACTGGATCAAAAATGAGACTTAAGGCGAGCGAGGAGGAAAAGGCAGATATTGGGGGCAAGCTAGGCTTGGCGTTGAGAAATGATTAAACGCCTTTCCTGGACTGTATATTTTTTGTAAATATAAGAAATGTTCTACCTGGCGTTTGCTCCAGGGTAAGATCCTATTTCCAATCGTTGGCCTTATTTGATACGAGTTAAAGAGCCCTGAATTCTTGCACGAGGGAGGGAGAGGCAGAGGGGGCAAGAAGGTCGCATGTATTTGGGAAATTACACAGGGTTTTATGGGGGGTTTTTTGTTGGTGCCTTTTCATAGGTAGTTCGCACGCTTTCGTGCTCATATGACAAAGCACTCTTGACCCACGCAGCTGTTTCCTCAATGTAATAATTTGCAGTGAAGTCGTAGGGGGTATGGAGAAATCATTGGACTGTTGAGTTATTTCTTAACATTTTTTTTCGGAAACCAAGAAAGCCTCACCCCGATAAGAGAGACTCCCAGGAGGGTCGTGCTCAGAATATTTGGTTCAGTTCCTCAGGGAGGTGTGGGATAAAATTAATATTTGGACGAAACCCACACCTGCGAGGCTATAGAAGTGAAATCAATTTTAGTGGTTAAAGTATAATCATCGCCTGTTAAGTATGGGGCAGTGCCCTGATCAGATAATGGTTCTGATCAGTGGCAAAAAAAAATTCCACATTCTCATGGCAGGGGCTTGAATATGCATAGGACAAATTTGTACTTTTCACGGTACTTGTTTTTGTAATAGTTACCACTCTGTTGGTACCTGTAACTGCTATGCCACGCAGAAATATCATCCTTCATTTGAGAGAACACCAGCATGCTTGGAAAAACCCATATGTTAGTGGAGAACACTCTGAACATGCGTTATACCACGTTTATAATTAACTTTCTTAACTTGAAAAGTTGTAATTTACTCCGACAAGTTATTTTGAAAATTAATGTGGAGGTCGAACATGTAGACATCCTTTCAATAAAGAAATCATTACTTTTTTATGATTACATTTTAGATGCAAAAAATTAGTTGGCACGTGAAATGAGCTCCGTGTGATGGATTATGTCCCGTCACAGACAGTTTTAATCAGGAACAAACTCTAACACAAGGCTTAAATCACCATCGCATGACAGCAGCGATCGCAGATACAGAAAAAAAACTGTTTGGGTCAACAGCAAGTCATATACGAATAGATTTCAACTTTAATAAGTGGAGTTATTTTTCCTTCTTCTTATTGTAATGCCAGTGTATGTAAAAATGATTTTCCCTTTACACTGGGGTCAGACACACCCTTGAGAGATCTGGTTATCCAGACGATGAGTTCCATCTTGCACAAAATGAAGGCTGTCATCCCCGCCTGATCCACCATATTCCCCACTTCCCAAGTCACAGTATTACGGGCCACAGTCAACGAGGCACCATTATGCGCAGGCCGGGAGCTTGGCAATTTCATTGCAGCAGGAGGAGTCCTTCACCCCCCACCCCCACCACGAGCCCTCCGTTTTTTCACTTAACGTCATACGCCGTGCTATTAAGAGACTGCGCGAGACACCGATGTGACCCCCCCCCCCTCCTCCCCCCGGTACAGACGGGGTCATTTTCATCAGAAGGTCACGCTATATGTCGCTTTTTGAGTGATTTTTTGTTGTCGCTATATATGTGTGCGTCAGTTTAACGCGTAGGCTGTTGCGACCGATATCCATAGTAGAGGGGGGATTTTTTTTTTTGGGGGGGGGGGGGGGTGATCGCGTGAATATAAATGTGTCGTTAAACCCGCCACCACCCGACACAGCCAATTAGTAAGGTTTGTCACGTAAACAAAACGTGTCAATTCGTCACTCATTCAGCACACCGGTTGTGTGTTGGAGTGTAAACACACAACATTTACAATTCGAGTACGACATTTCGCCAGTAATCACAACCATCATCATCATCATACATCCTCCTGTTTCGGTCTTAAACAGAGGGATAAATGTGATGGTCGTCGCTTGTGAGCCAATCAGGTGCGAAGACAATCGGCGGTGTGGGGGTTAATGTATTCATGTAAATGATAATGGCTATATATTATTGGTTTGGTTATTCACAGTTATGTGTGTGTGTGTGAACAATCTTATAACAGAGACGTGCTATCCAATAGGCACAGTGCCCACGAAAACAAAAGGGTCTACGAAAAAAAAAACTTTGACCACGTCTTATTTTACTTGTATGATAAAAAAAATGTACCCAATTATATCTTCCTGAATAAATGTATTTATTTATATAGCAAGGATGGGCACAGCGTTTCAAATGAAATCTGCTTATGTGCGGCACACAGCGCGTTCCCACCGAACGAGGGCACGGACTAAATAATGAACAACTAAATAATGAACAACATCTATCCAGCGGCTGGACGAAGTCCGCGTGAAACAAGCGAGTGACAGCTGCGGTAGTGGTAACATGGGGCAGCAGTGGTACCAACTGTAGGGTTATTATCACTCAGGCAGTGGCGGTTTATCCTCGTAGTACAAGTAGCTACATAATGCTACGGGCCCCGCACTTTCAAGGGCCCCGCGCTAAATGCTTTCAAGCTTTCAATTCCGGTTCTGTTATTCTGCACTTGCTCTATTACTATAGTTCTATACCGCCTTTAACTTTTTATGAACGACTGGGTGTTTAAGGTTAACGATTTGTCGTATTATCTGGCTGTATAGCAAATGAAAAAATACAATTACTTTACGAAGCAAACTAAAAATGTGTGTTTTAATATTTACGTGTGTTTTTATTTAAGGCCCCATCATAACATATGCTAAAGGCCCCGCACTAGCTTAATCTGGCACTGCACTCAAGGCCTATGAAACAGAAGCGCTTACGAAAGCTTTAATCTGGCCCTGTCTAGTAACGACCCCCTTTGTGGCCCGATGGGACACTGCGCGGTTTTCAGCGGCTGACTCGCCATCAGAAGGTGTGCGAGCTCAAATCCTAGCCGGGGGGTGGGGGGAGGAGAGGATTTGACTCGTTAAATAGAAAATCAGACCGCGTTATGGGAAGTCGAGAGACATGACCAACTAAAATTGGAGGCAGAACATCAATCGTTATCCTAGGTCAGTGGTTCTCAAAGTGTGGTCCCCGGGACCATCAGTTGGTCTGCGACAGTCCTCCAGGTGATGCAAATGCAGGTTGGTCCGCAAATAATGGCAATGTTTGTGATACCTTTCATTTCGGAAATTAATAAAAATTAAACTCACGAGAATTCATTAAAAAAATAAAGGTGAACTTACCCTGATTGAACTACCCTACCCCTAAGATCTAGATGCCTTAACAAAAAAAAAGTTAGTTGCGTTTAAAAATAAAAGTTTTTTTTATGTTCCATTAATATGAACAATTTAAATTTCGATTTACTTTGAATAGCTCAGATGTGTAGGCCTTGACTTCAACATAGCCATTTCTGTGACCAGTCACAAGCTAATCACTCAGTTATTTCAATGCTAAATTCGCCTAGTTATTTCAATGCTAAATTCTCCTGTTTGATTTGTACTAGGTTCCTCGGTGAATGTATATGCTCTGACTTTAACATAGCTATTTCTGTGACCAGTTACAAGCTAATCACTCAGCTATTTCAATGCTAAATTCTATGCTAATTCCTTTGTCAAGGGGTGCCTCTGCGGATGTGTATTCTTTAACTTTAACATAGCCATTTCTGTGACCAGTCACAAGCTAATCACTCAGCCATTTCAATGCTAAATTCAATGCTAATTCCTTTGTCAAGGCGCTTTGTTTCTTCTCACACAGCTTAAAGGTCGCGATCTGAGCGTGGCTTTTTCACTCCAGCGCTGTCCTCAAGACAGTCTCGTCCCTTCACCTGATGAAGGCCGCTTGTGTTGTGGCCGAAACATCGTGAGAATATTATTGTGTTATTTTATTTTATCAATTTATTATTTTATTCTCATTCTACATGACTTTACCGAAAGAACCAAAGAAGATGAACAATTTAGTGTGAGTGGTATTGAGAGAGAAATGAACGCGTTTCGTCACCAGGGGTGTGGGGGTTGGGTGGTCCGCGGAAGTGTTTGCATCGGTTGAGTGGTCTTTGGGCCAAAGAAGTTTGAGAAACACTGCACTGGGTCATCATGAGACTCCAGTTCAGAATTAGTTGAGTGTGGCGTCTGGCCAAGTACCCGCCACTGTGATTATAGCGCTCAATTAATCATAATAAGACGGCAGGAGAGATGGTGAGAAGACGTCAAATCATTCGGAGGACACGACTGAACACGTTTTTTTACGAAAGAAATGAAGTGATTGAATAAAATGAGAGATACGTTTGGCCAGCAGTGAAAATGTACAGGCTCAAAACAACAACACCAACAACAGCAATATCGGAAAGAAAATGAAAATCTCGACTTTTCGGCAGACTCCCCCTTCTCCACCGTTCACTCACGGACACGCCGGCTGCTGCCGCCCCAGCCTTGCCGAGGCTCGCCGAGGACCTGCCCATGGCTCGCACAAAATCCCAGGCCTCCCTCGTGGCCGAGCGAATGTTGTCGACGCGGCCCTGCTGGAAGCGGCGCAAGGAGGCGCTCTCGTACGTCGATACCAGCCGCCCGTGGCACCTGCAGAGGAAGGGCGGGTGGCGGGGTAGCGGGCAGAGAGACCTTGAGGAGGTGCGAACGAGAAACACTGTGGCAGGGAGAGAGCTGATGAGCGCCCGAGAGTGCCGTGCTGGCATCCGGATGAGCGCCTGGGTTAAATTTCGGGCAGCTTCCTCATGTTAAACGACATGTATGCCGAACATATTTGCCCTAGCAGATCACCAGTTGAAACAGTGGCCAGTTATAAACTTTAGACAGACAAAAACATTTCTAAAATAAATAACTACGATTACATTTGTGACATCAAAATCCACGAATAGTAGTTTTTTTGCATCGTGTTTAAACTTGATAATTATTTAACGAATTGTTTAGGCTTTGTGGATATTGGTGTGGCTCACCGCATGTCTTCCATGATGCACAATAATTCGCTCTCGGACCTCAAACTGAATACCTCTCAGAGTTTACACGTGAAGAGGCAAAAACCCGTTATTTTATTGATAAGGAAGACACTTTGACTTTCAATGCGTATTTGAACACTGTGATTGATAGTACAAAAGATATGATGAGCAATACGTTAAATTATTTTCATTCCTCCATGTATGTACGTTGAACTTCTTTCGCACCGTACGTAGCCAACCGTGCCAATCGGAGTTGCGGGGGAAGAACAACAAACTAAACAACGAAAATCAGTCCTCAAGAAATTCGTTTTCAATCGCGATTTAAAAGTGCATAGCTCCAGTCGCTTTCTAATATCGGAAGGAAGAGCGTTCCAGACGGCCGCGGAAGCGCATCTAAAAGCGCGCGATGCGGTGACCGTCTTTGTTGGATGGCCAGCACAAAAGCCGCTGCGAGGATGACCGGAGTTTGCGAGACGGTTTTTGCTCCTTGGCGAAACTCGACACGCATGTATACATGGATACATGTATACATGGATATATAAATGCACAAGCCCCACATTTGTCGTCCATTCATCGATATGATATGGCAGACTTATGTCCAGAGAATGAACATCTCTACAGATAGGCACGAATGATGACAGCAACATTTGAATGAAGGGGCCAGATGCTGACGTCTGTGTCAGAACACTGAGCCAGTAAGGATAAGAGATGGTTTAAATGATAGGGGGCTGCCTCATGTCAAACTGGTCATGTATAAGAGAAGGCAGACTTGAATCGCGACACAAGCTGTTTATAAATGCACAGATTGCCAGGAGAATTAAGGTAAGAGACGTAAACTGCTGACACAAGAGATGCACTTGAAGAACAGCCCTTGTATAACACGAGAATAAAGACTGTCAAGTCAAGATTTGTTTGTGAAGATGTAAGCCAATCACAGTGTTCAGACATAGACAAATATCCCCCGTATAGCATTAACAGCCTTTTGGGGACAAGTGTTCTTAGAGAGCACACGAGGGGGTGGGTGACCAAACACCGCGTCCATAGTCTCCCGAGTGGCGATGTTTACACATCACACACGCCAATTACACACGTACACACACACCCATTACATACGTACACACACACACACCCATTACACACGTACACACACACCCACTACTCATGTACACACCCACACTCACTACTCATGTACACATCCACACCCACTACTCATGTACACACACACACCCACTACTCATGGACACACACACACACTACTCATGTACACACACACACACTACTCGTGTACATACACACATTACTCATGTACACACCCACTACTCATGTACACACTCGCACATTTCCTTCCATACTCCAAAGATAAAAAAAACTCAGCAAATGTTGTTAGTGAGCACCTATGAAGGCCGGCACGGGACACGAGGGGGTTGGTGACCAGCACCACGTCCGGCCGCCTTTGTCTCCCTGGTGGCGATGTTTGCACGCTGCAGCAGCTACTCATTTGAGGCTGAGTCGACCTAGGGGTGGCCCAGGACCGGTTCAAATAATCGTCACTGGTTTTGGCGGTGAGCGGGAATCGAACTCGGGTGGTCAGGTTCATAGGTGCGTAGCTCCAAGACCAAGATCCCCCGTAAAGCCTGAAGATACTGTTGGAGCAAGTGCTGTTAGCGAGCACCTATGAAGGCCGGCACGACACGCGAAGGGGGTGATGTTGCCAGCAACACGTTCGGTCACATTTGTCTTCCCAGTGCTTAGAACAATGGCATCAGCTAGGCCTCTTGATTGAAGTCTGTCTTAACCTAGGGAAGGGCCATGACTGGGTCAGATTCTACTCACCACTTATATCGGACGTAGCCAGGATGAATGTCAGTTGTTCCCTAAGATGGCTCATTCAGAGGATGATCAATCTGACAATATTTTGACATCTATATAGGTTCTCTACCCATATAGGACTTTTATTGCTAGAAGCATTGCTCTTTGTTTGACTAGGTGCAAGTTCTAGTAAGCTTCATTAAATATTTAATCCCATCATATCCCAAGGACAGCTGTTATTTTACCATAGAAGAGTGCAAATGCTTTCATATTCCAGATTTGGGCTAAGGCACTGACACACAATGGCCTACTATTGCATACGATGATACCATAAAAGAGCCTTTCAAGTCCACTTAGCAGCACCTTTTGTTTAGTTTAATAAATTCCGAGAATATTACCATACCAGGGGTCAAACTGTCACATCCATACAAAGTGGACCTATAAACTATGAACTGTTTTTTTTTAATTATTTTAGCAGGTAAGGCCCATTGAGCTGCATAGCTCTTTTACAGAAGCGACCTGGCCACAAATGATAGCTCAACAAAATGGCTTATCACATGGACATGTAGCGCAGCCACACACTATAAAGTCTAAACGTGTGACGTTGATTCTAAATGTGAAGGGAAAAATCGGAGGACCCCGGAGAAAAATCCACAAGACCACAGAGAGAGAGAGCGAGACATTCAAACTCCAAATATATAGCAGGCATCAGGTTCGGGATCGAACCCACGTATTCCTGTATACCGGGCAAGGTAGATAACATCTCGCCACCGCGGTTCATTACGCTCTCTCAGAACTGGCCGAGTGTGGTGTCTAACGAACCGTCCGGCGCTGTGGTCAAAGCACAAACTCACCGAGGAAGATCACGAATGAAGATCGTCACGAGTTCAAGGGTTAACTCATCCCTCTGGAATAAAAAAAAATGCAGTGGCCTATCCTTCACCTTTCCCCTTCTCTTAAATGGTTCAGTTGCGTTGGGATCATTTCTGTGAACTGCGTCGCCTGGGTGAGTGAGCTATGCAACGCGCTGTAACGAGCTCGCATTTTGTAACAATAAAAATAATGCACCGTGGCTGTTTGGAGAGGCCGGTCCCACCACCGGCACAGGAATTCCGACAGCGATGGGAACCGTCCCACGGTCGGTGGAGCATGGAGACGCTTGGACTCAACTATGCCCATTTGATTTCACTCTGAACGGCGTCATATAATACACCAAAACAACAACAACAACAACAAAATACTGTTCATATTCTTGGTTCTTTCGGTAAAGTCACGTAGAAGGGAAACAAGACATTTTCTTGCTGTGGTTTTCACACCTGATGATGATTGCTTGTGTTGCAGTCGAAACGTCGTGAGAATTTGATTGTTTTATATGTTTTATTATTTTGTTGTTTCCCTTCTACGTGACTTTACCGAAAGAACCAAGAATATGAATCCCTGCGGTCACGAAAGCTTTAAATAAAAAAAAATACTGTTCGCTAATAAGATTTAACATTTTGGCAGTGCCTTTGACAACAGAGGTGTTATTTTTTAATAGCTTTTTTCACTTTGATTTTCCTTCTTTATTTAATGCAATTGACTTTACCAAGCACTACACGACAAGAGAAGAATCGATTTTGCACGTCAGCCGTTTCCTTCCACAACTCTGATGTGTGGGCGTGTGCGAGTTTTTTTGGCGAGGAAATGTTCGGTGGAGCTGCTAAGTGTATGGACATGTGATGTGCAGGCATGCACGTACTGTGCATGTGGGTATTTATCCAGTGGAGGAGGCTGGTGAAGGACGCTACTGGGCAGTTGGGGGCAGTTGCCCTCCAGCAACAATGTTTGGCAGAGGAGCGACGCTCACAATGCGGAGCGCCAGGTGGATAAAGTACAGGTGGTCTACCAGTCATGTCAGTCAGTCAATCCATAACAACTGGGTCAGTCCTGTGACCTCCTGCCAGCGAGCCTTCAACACTTTGTGACCTCAAAGTGCACCTAGCCTGACACAAGTGATGTGGCGACATCACCGTCACATAGTGGTGAAAGGCAGTTGTTATTATTTGGTGGAACGGTGGTTGCAGTGGTTCTTGCACTGTGCTACGATCTGGGTTCAATTGCCTGCTCTGGCGAGTGATATCTGATTATGCCCTGGGTAGCCCCTTCACCAACCATCACGGATCAGCAGACTGAAGTCGAGTAATGTTATGAAACTGTTACAATCCTCAAATCCGTTTCCAGTACTTTTTCACACTTGCGTATTTCATCATCGTTTGCGGTTAAATTCCGAAACCAATAAACGTTATCTCATCTGAGCGCGGTGTGCGTGACGCGTCTTAGGAGGTGCACAAAACATGCTGTTGAATAATCTTAATATTATGAACCCACGACCGCGGCCTCGCCTCCGCTGTCTCAACGTGGCCCCTTCCCCCCTCTCCACCAGCCGTGCTCCTCGAAAGCGCAGCAGCCACCCTCACTCCCCCAGGCCTCCTTCGTCTCTCCTCCACTCGCTCCAGAGCCACCCTCTCTCCCCTCCTCGTTCACGCCTCTCTTCTTTATCGCTCTCCCCACCCCCAACCACCGCCGTCTTAATCTCCTGCCTTTGTTCCAGGTCTTTATTTTAGTTCTTAGCCTTTGAATGGGCTCTAATGGGCTATTCAGCAATGGGCCACTATTTACATTTCACGGGGCTGTTGAGTATCTGGGTTATTTCCACCCATATCCTGCTCTTGCATCGGTCGCGACAGTCAACAAATCCCATGACTGATTGACGTGGAGTGGCAGCGGATTGACAAAGGGCAAATATTTGCATTGCATTCATAATTATTATAATGCGTATATTTGTTTAGAGCGGTGATGCAGTGGTGTGACGCACTGCAGAAGGGTCCACTCAATCTGGTTGAAATTCCCAGCCTGGCACATTAGTGGCACATGGCATCTAATCACTCTTGTTGTGCCTTCTCAGCACGCATAGCTGCTTATTAACAGCAATTAATTTTATACACTGACACAACATAATCAATTTTCCTTTGCAAGAAAATATATCAAGCTTTAGAGTGGAATAAAAAATCCAAAGTGTTTCCCCGCTCAGGGGTTTGAGCAGTGACGCAGTGCCTAACGCACTGCGGAGTAAACCCCACAGACCTGAGTTCGATGTCCGGCCGTGGCCAGCATCAGTGGTGAATTGCATCTGAACTGGCCCTGGACAAACGCCAACTTCGCCGACCCGCACTGACCAGGGTGGATGAACTATGCTTCAATAATCCCCACGGCTGACAAAACCGTGTGGAGCGGGCCCTTCTTCCACCGTAACGCTGCGATTGTTATCATCGTCATCGATTAAGAGACACCGACCACAATGCAAGTGAGCACACGGTGCGCGCGTGCGCGCGCGTGCGTGTGTGTGTGTGCCACCCACTTGTAGTGCGCGAGCTGAAGGGCCACCTGCACGTAGGCGTCGGGGCTCATGCGCTGCTGCTTGATGAACTCCTTCCCGTAGCCCGAAAAGCGGTCGATGAGGAGGTCGAGATTTTCCACCACCCTGCGGGGAGGCACGCACGGCACGGCACTCACTCCCCTCCGTGTCCTACAGCGGTTGTGCGACCGGCATTACGCACATGCTTTGCGATTGTTTAGATGATATTGCTGCGATACATTTGCATGCGATTAGCCACTTGGTTGAGCTATCGTGTGGCCGGATCGCTTCTGAAACACAAGTCAATATCTCAGTGGGCTTTGTCTGGTAGGATGGGGATGCTTTAGTGTTATCTGTATGTTTTTGCATGATTTGTTTTCCTATCCCTATACTTTGTACAACTGTCGTGGTTTTTTTTTTTTATAGTTTGTCGCTTTAACGTTCTTACCCGTCCCTACTGGACATCTGCGAATAAAGAGCTTCGTTAGCTCATCGAATTCCTCCAGTCTGAATATTCAGATTCTGTGACCTCCTGCCAGCGGGCCTTCGACGCTTCACGTAGCGGCCTCAAAGTGCACCTAGCGCGGCACAATCGTCACGGCCGCTCGACGGCGAACGGCCGTCGTTTTTCTGTTTGATGTTGTTGGCTCACGAGTCGAGGTTCCGTGCCGCGAACGCCAAGTGCTCGTGAATCTCGGGGCTGAGCTTCCAGCGCAGGCGCCGCGGGGCCGGCAGCTCACACACCGAGTCGGCGCGCAGCAGCTTCCTCTGGGACGTGTCCTTGCTGCGAACGCGGTGGCACACAACGTCATCAATCGCGACCGTGATCTACATACAATGGTTCAAAAATACATAACATCGCTCACATGGCAAAACCACCCCCTACTTGCAGAATCATGTCTGTTGGCAGGCCGGTGCTATGTTACACCTTGTGCTGCACAGTGAAAGCTGCCACTGTGGAGTCCCCTTGGCTAAAGTGCAGCAGAGCATTGGAAACTGTTGAGATGAGATGTGATAATTAGGCATTTAAGCAAGCGCGTTATAAATGTAAATCCTTATCCCTATGTAGCATCGAGTTGCAACCACATCTCAAGGTGGACCTTTCGATGCATGTAACGATGGATGCATCCATTCAGCAATTAAGATTGATTCTTACTTTGACTGTACACGAGCCAATTAATTATTTTCTAATTTATGTAAAGTATGTGCTGTTGATATGCTAAGGTTATGTACTGTATTGCTAATCGAGTGAATAAAACTGCACACATGAGACAATACAAATTACACAAATTTGGTGTAAAAAAATAAGATGATTCTTGAATTGAATCGTGACCCTGGATCGTGACATTTCATAAGACCGCTGAGGAGTAAATAATTATCCACGCCTAGGAACAGATTACAAGTAGCAGCACACTGAGAAACTTAAAAGAAGTCCATATGACTGAAAAAGAGACATTTTGTCTCACTGGGCTGTTAGCTGGTTATTTAACAATAGTGATATATGTATTGGTCTATCTGCGACACCAGAGAATGGGACACTGAGATATGAGACGCTAGGCCATGGAAGACAATGCGATAACACTTTACATTGTAATTGTCAAGTGCTGAATGGGATTTGTGCAATAGTATCACATAGAACAACGAAGGCACGTGGATATTGCTCTATCATCTTTAACATCTACTTCCCTGTAAAAAGGTATCCAGTACTTTTCATCTGCAGTTATTCATGAGTGACTGGTAGAACTGACCTATCAACTCATTGTATACCAGGTACTAACTAATTTTCAAGCCAGGTTAACATACCAATTGTCACCGATACAGATGTTGGCACGAATGCGGAGGTTGATTTATAGCAGAAAACAACCTTCTTGCGTGTCTTCCCACTTAATTATAAACTAGTTAAGAGGTGGCCCATTAGTTCATGGCACTAATCACAGTGTTAGAGCACTGAGCGAGCACCGATGACTCCATCGGCTCCAATACAGGTTTCAGCCACCTGTGATTAAATCAAAACAAACGTTAGCATTGACGTAGAGAATATGAATAACAAATGACATAATTTGTTATTTGTATTCTCCATAGCAACGCAAATAATTATTTTGAACTACGTGTCACGTAATTTCGCGTCTAACTGACGCTAGATGGTAAGCGGAGGGCCCTGTAAGATCGGCAGGTCACCAGCATTGTCAATTTGAGCAAGACTGACTCTGTTGATGAGACTATGAATGTAAAAGACGGTCCAGAGTTTGTTTGTTTAGAAAAAATGCTGCTGAAATTACGCACTCCCCAGAAGGCCGTGCGGCTGATGAGTTGGTACGAAATGCTTGTTTTCTTTTTATGTAAAGTGACGGATTACATGTAACGGATGATACATTGTCTGTTTATTACTGAGTGATTAAATCAGGCTCTCATGTGTAATAAGTTAACGGTCTGAGCCCAGTCACCCGGTGATTGTTTATTATGTAAACAAGCTCCGGATACTTAAAACATCAATTCAACTGGCATGCAATGAGCAGCCTTTACAGTTCTCGTAAGGGGCACCACCATGAGTCAGATAAGAGATCAATTGAAGTGACGTCAGACGCGGTGAACGTGGCATCATCTTCCCGAAGCCATTCACTCGCGCAAAATAATGCACTGGTGCATCATGCAGAGATTTCGTAAATCACAAAGAATGCCACCTTAAGAGTTCAGTGAGCACGCCACAATAAATAAAACATCTGCTATCGAATCTTGGACGCAGAACAAAAGGCACGTGCCCGCGGAAGAACAAAACCCCGCCTGCCTCCGCGCGCCCACTCCGAGCTCACAACAAACGCGGTCATCGATCGCCAGCTTTAATGTTTACAACTGCAGCATCCGAGAGGTTAAAAGGTCATAAGGGACAGATGGTTTGGCACCAAGGGACGGTTCCAGGCTCCTCTTTGACCAGGCTCTGCCTTGTGTTTTCCCCAGTTTTTAGGTAAATGGCACAGGTGGTCCAACATCTCATGGGATCCTGAGGCTGATTATATGAATGCATATTTTGCTGTAGGAAAAGTAATGATTATTGACCAACAGCAATCAGATGGATTTCCACGGATCAGGGTCTGGTTTATTTCAACAATCAACAATGTTTGTCTTGTTTTTACCCTCTCGTATGTACTGTCAGTCTTGTATATAAATGCGTTTTGTTTGTATTTATTTGCCGCTTTTGCAAAGGTGGCTAATTTGAATCGCCGTGTTTGCGTGTCCTGTCTTGTACTGCATCTCTTGTCTGGTCTGTCTCATATGTCGTGTCTCATTCACATAATCTGTCTCGCTTGTTCCATAAAACAATTCGATTGCCACGAATTTGCATTTATTATAAACAATCAATACTGACAAGATTCATTTGATGCATGTATCGTGAGCATGAGAAGTGATTTCAATTGATGAACTGACGATGTCGTCAGATGTTTGTTAGCTGATGACCTGTAAGTAAAAAAACATACCCAGTGTAACTCTGCTCAAAGGGAGATCATCACCCATCTTAGCCCTGCGCCAGTCATGAAAACTCTACATTCCAATTACAGGCACCAAAATATTCATCAGGATGACCACTGTTCACCTTTTTACAAAGGAGAAACGATTTCATCAACCCCAGAGACGTGAACGGTTTGATAGTGAGAATGACTGTTCAGCATACAATAAAAAGTATATAATTGGTGGCTTAAAATAATTGTCCATGCGATAATTAGTTTGACTGTGTTGGGTGGAGGAGGGGTGCACGACAATTGTTTGATCAGATTGTTACATGGCATGACCGAACCAAAAAAACATCTATTATAATTCATGATTATATTATCATTTGCTTGCCGATGAGACTCATTGATATCAAAACCAGTCAAAGGTTGCTTTATTTACACAGGGAACAATAATTATTCTTTGTTTACCCAGGAAACAACTCACTATCAGGACTTTGTTTTTTAGATTCATACAGATGGATTAAAGATATATATTCTTATACTGTCATCTTCTGGTCACCTTGCAGGCCAAGCTTACAACATTTAGTATTCCTCATGGCATTCTCCAGTCCAAGCAACAACCATATTCCCTCCTGCTTAGCTTCCCAGACGCGACGAGATTGGCTGCACTTTTCAACGGCGAGTTGATCACAGGTTGGTCTTACGGCGCTAAAAATTCAGTATCTGAAATGTTTATTCTCCAGCACACCGGAATGCTGTACTAGTAACGAATTGGCGTGTTTTGTTTACGTGACAAATATTACTAATTGGCTGTGTCGGGTGGTGGCGAGTTCAACGACACATTTATATTTACGCGATAAACCTAAACACCTCTATTACGAAAGTAAATAATCTTAATACATTTTATTTTAAAAAATATTTCAACAATTAACCATGAATAAAAAAAAGCATTGTTACAAATGAAAAAATATTTTTTCCGAAAAATATACACAGCATAAAATCTAGTAGCGCTACTGTTTTTTTTTACTGACATGGGCATGAAAAAAATATGCATGATGACTTAATTGTGAGTATTGTACCTTTAAATCTTATTTCATTAATAATGTCACTATGAGACTGTCTTCCTCTAAACCCAATACACGGGTGCAACTAAAATAAAATATATAATTATAGGCTACGTATTATTGTATACTGGTTCAAAACATCCGTAGCTATTTCAGTAAAAGGGGAGGGGGGGCACAGTCGCATCCCGCATAGCCCCCCGTTTGAAAGAGGTCGTTGTGCTACTCACATGTAGGAGAGTAGGTGCTCCACACACTGCACCACGGCAATGCCCTCCGCCGGCGAGTGTTCGTAGACCAATCCGCACGCTCCATCTCGGCCCACAATGAACTGCCCACAAAACACACGCCCGCGCTGATGTACACATGCTGCAAGCAGGTGGAAATCAATTTAAGGGCGAGTCGACCTAGCGGAGGCCCAGAACAGGCTCAGATGTCACTGTCAGATCATTTGTCAAACGATGTGTGCATGTATGAGAGAGCGAGAGAGAGAGAGAGAGCGTGAGAGGGCTGTGTGATCGAGCGGAGAGAGAGCGTGTGTAAGTGATTTTGAATGTGCCTGGAAGAAGGTATAGTCTATACGGGGGATCTTGAACTGTGGTTCTTCATGTGTGGCAAGTGTTAAGTTTGACGTTTTATTACTTTATTTTAAAATTATATACCGGTAATTGATATTTTTTAAAGCTGTTTAAGAGTGGAAGATCTGGGGGCTAAAACAGCATCTCTGCTTTTAACATGTGAGTCGGCAGGGAAAAGGTCTGTCGTCAGAAACGTTCGCGTTCGCCTGCCGAGCAATTTTCGCGGAACGTATCTCGCACGTTAAGCGAGACGACGCCACGCCTGTACTCATTTACGGCCGAGTTAAACCAGGAGAGGCAGCGCTAAGAGACCCAATCGATTCCCGTGTTGAACCCGTCCAGGGGTTTAAACCTGGCTTGTTGCGAGTCGATTCAGCATCGCACATTCACCACCGAGGGATGGAGAGTTGGGGCAGCGGTTCCCGCACTGCCGCTTTATGAACCCGGCCACCCGGGTTCAATCCTCAGCAGGAGCTAACATCGGTGGGAAGTGATATCTGAAGCTGGTCCTGCCAGTCACTTCCCAGTTAGTGGTACCCATTGTAGCGATCAAGCACAGCAGGATGGGTTGAGTCAACGCACAGCTGTAATATAAAAACTTGTGGTATTCCGGCTAGAAAGTCACGCACTTTCATCACATTGAAACGGAGCCCCTACTTGATCGAGGGTAGGAGGAGTTGGAGCATCGTTTGTCGGCAAAAGACAAAGATACCCCGTATAGCCTTGAACAGACTGTTGGGGCAAGTGCCGTTAGCGAGCACCTATGAATGCCGGCACCGCACACGAGGGGGTGGGTGGCCAGCACCACGCCCCGAGTGGCGATGTTCACACGCAACGCATCAGGTACTCATTTGAGGCTGAGTCGACCTAGAGGAGGCCCGGGACCGGTCCAGATATTCGTCACTGGCGTTGGCCGTGAGCGGGAATCGAACTCGGGACGCCGGGGCTCGTAGCGCGGCGTAGCGCTAACCGCTGTGGGTTGGGGGGGGGGGTAGCACCTGCATGGGTTTGTCGAACCAGCGGTTGCCGCTGTTGGCCCGCGCACCCCCTCCGTGCAGCATGTTCTCCGCCAGGGCCACGTCCGTGAGCGGACGATTCATGGCGCCGTCCAGGCACAGGAGGAAGATGCAGCGCTCGATCGCGTCCAGCGAGTCTCGATTGGTCGAATCTGTCGGGTTCGAAAACAAAAACAAGAGGGGGGTGGGTGGGGGGGAGATCACTGTGCGATTAAAGGGAACAGCAGTGGTGTGGTGTGGGGGGTGCAGCGGTTTGCCGGCGTTGTGCGACGAACCCGCTGACCCGAGTTCAATTTGCGGCCGTGGCTAATATCCATGGTGGGTAACATCGGAAATCGGTCTTCGCCTCCTCGCACTGACCAACACGGTGAAGTATGGTCAGAGTTACTGTAAAACAACTGACGCCGTGTGTTGGGGAGGCCTTTATCCAGCTGTGGATTGACAACGAGCCGTACATCATTTGCTCTGACTATAACATTAAATGTTAACGACGCCATCACACCAGCCCATTGCTGTCTTCCTTCCGCCAGGTCCTTGCAACTGTTGTGCAGTCAACGCGTAGAGCGAGGACCCGCCTCACCGTAATCCATCGCCACCCTTCGGCCTGACCTTTGGCTGCTGACCTCTGGGTGCCACTGCGATGCGTGTCTCGATAACCTGCCCTCCTCCTACATCCTGCGGGTGCTTTGTGCCCATCGCAGCCTCCGATTGGGCAATGCTCCACTCCATTCTGAACTCCTAAGTCGCTTGCCCTATCCTCCCACGAAATCCCCACAATCGTCCGCATGTACCGACACTCAAAGCTCAGAAGGTTTACGCGAACTCCTTTTCAAATGGTGTTTGCGTACGATGCGAATCAAGTTCGACATATGTAGATGCCTCGGTGTGTTTGTCTTTCTCCATGTCAGCTTTTTTTTGTTTCTCTATGTATTCGATACCTGTCAACCCATACGGTTTACCCGCTTTCTTGTACAGGGAAATTGAGTTTTCAGCCCCATACGATGTACAGCCGTTTCAATACGGGCAAAAAACATATATATAGTGTCTATTTGTTTGTGTTTCTCCCTTGTAATGGGACTTTGTAGGATGGACGTTGAGATTTATTTGGGCACTGGGTGACCAGCAAGATCTGAATTGGTCTGTAATAAGGTAGGGCAATGACTAGGGCTTGACAGGTTTGGTGTTCCCTTGTCTCTGTCGCTTTGTCTCCTCGTATGGCTTCATCTCACCTGGCACAAGCGCCCGAGCTGACGTCGCCGACAATGAGTGTGGAACGACGGTTCTGATTACTGCATCTGTCTTTTGTGTATCTGCGTCTATCTCTGTCTTGCCCTGCGTCTCCATCTACATTTGTCTCTCTGTCTACACTCTGTAGCCCCGCTTTTGCCGCACTCTGTATAGTGCCCCAGTTAGTGTTGAGACGGCTCTGTCGTTGTATTGTCAGTGGGAGAGTTTGTCATTCGAACCGGGTATATTTTTCATATAAAAGCAACAGCGATACACTGCAATTGGGCCGTTTGTATATCTGCGTCTATCTCTGTCTTTCCCTGCATCTCCACCTGCATCCTCTCTAATAACACACACACACGTACGCAGTACTGAAAGTGTACACTCATGAGAGAAACACACACACACACGTACGCAATACTGAACGTGAACACTCATGAGAAACACACACACGTACGCAGTACTGAACGTGTACACTCATGAGAGAAACACACACACACACGTACGCAGTACTGAACGTGTACACTCATGAGAAACACACACACACACACGTACGCAGTACTGAACGTGTAAACTCATGAGAAACACACACACACGTACGCAGTACTGAACGTGTACACTCATGAGAAACACACACACACACGTACGCAGTACTGAACGTGTACATTCATGAGAAACACACACACGTACGCAGTACTGAACGTGTACACTCATGACAAACACACCCACACACGTACGCAGTACTGAACGTGTACATTCATGCGAAACGCACACACGTACGCAGTGCTGAACGTGTACACTCATGACAAACACACACACGTACGCAGTACTGAACGTGTACACTCATGAGAAACACACACACACGTACGCAGTACTGAATGTGAACACCCATGAGAAACACACACACACACACGTACGCAGTACTGAACGTGTACACTCATGAGAAACACACACATGTACGCAGTACTGAACGTGTACACTCATGAGAGAAACACACACACATACGCAGTACTGAACGTGTACACTCATGAGAAACACACACACACACACACGTACGCAGTACTGAACGTGTACACTCATGACAAACACACACGCACGTATGCAGTACTGAACGTGTACACTCATGACAAACACACACACACGTACGCAGTACTGAACGTGTACACTCATGACAAACACACACACACACGTATGCAGTACTGAACGTGTACACTCATGACAAACACACACACACACACGTATGCAGTACTGAACGTGTACACTCATGAGAAACACACACACACACACGTACGCAGTACTGAACGTGTACACTCATGAGAAACACACACGCACACGCACAGCAAAGGCAGTGTAAGGTGGTGGCACACGAACCTCTGACCAGGCACGTGCGCGCGGCCGCCCACGTGCTGCGCCCGTCGGTGGTGAGGAGGCCGATGGGAGGAGGGGGCACCTCGTCCGCCTCGGCCAGCTTCAAGATCTTCCCCAGCTGCGTGAAGAGGTCCGTCTCGCTCAGGCGTCGGAAGTTGATGACGACGTCCAGCACGAAGAACTACAGCGAGAGATCGTGCGGATAAGGGTGATGACCTTATCTGGCTCTCTTGCTTTTGTACACGCTTTTATTTAACTCACTCTGTCTGTTGTATCCTCAAATCTTGTAATTGGTGTCGACTGCATACTTGGTATACTTGTGTCATACTGATGACAATACCATATTCTATCATAAAAAATGAAATATTTTTGAACAATCTTTTTTATATGTTATGTTTCGGCTTTGTCCACGGTAAACTGACGTTGGCTGTAAATGTCCACGGCCCCCTTACGTTATGGCAAGCTTCGGGGCCACTTCCTAAAGTCGTGGAGTTCTTCCATTACTGGTACGGTACATTAAATGAAAGCGTGTTTTAAAAAAAAGTTTTGAAAAAAATATTACTTATTTCGATTTGTCTCGCATGGTCGCGCCCAGGCTATTATCTATCGCGGCTTAATCTTGCCTCATCATATCGTCCTTACGCTCACGGTCTCGAACATGTAACGCTGTAGGGGCGCTCCGTCTTCAGACAATGCAGCCACTGCAGCTCTGATTGTTTTACCTGGTTACCACTGTGGTGATGACAACAAAGTAGAAACACACATGCTATGCGCAATTTGGGAAAGCCAAACGTTATTGCTCGAATTAATTAAAAAGTAAAACGTGGAACCGTCAGTGATAGTATTTGAATAAATAAAAACACATCTAAACCGCGTTTTAAATAAGTTATTTTACACTGTTGTTGAAAACATATCTCATGGTGGTTGTCAAGGGGGCCTCAACTCGTAGTTTTGGCCGGGGGTGGGGGGGCAAGGCACCCCCTGCCCCCACGCTCGTTACGCCGATGCCAGTTTGGGATCTCCACCTCCGCGCCGCAGCCAAAGCCTCGACTCCTCCACCGCGGAAACTTTCGCCCACGTAGCTCAACAGGGCTCGCGAAATGCCGCTAGTCCAGAGCACTGCGATGGCGACCGCTGACTTTCTGCGTCTGAATGTGGGTTTCAGCGGCCCATGATTGAATCCGTTTTTAGTGACCACATTACATTAGTCCTACTATCTCTTCATTGGCTACCTGTCAAATTCCGAGTGGATTTTAAAAAAAGGGCTCACCACAAATTACTTGAATAAACTAATACATTTATATATTCCATCAAGATCCTTAAGATCTCCTGATCTCCAACTGCTCAGCGCTGCCAGATCTAGGTTGCGCTCTTTTGATGATCATGGATTTTGTTAGTGTGGCACCCAAGCTATGGAACGCCACTTGATATCAGGCAATCAGTCGCCAGATATATTTGTCTGCTTTGAAAATCCATTTCTTTAAAGTGGCCTTCCTTCTGTAGTTTGGTCGGTTGCCTCTGGTTCTGTTTTTGTTTCCTGCTTTTCATGCATTGCGATCCTAGGATGGAATGCTCATGATAGATTTGAATTATTATTATTAAATGCAGCGAGCTGATTGGTCGCAGCCCAGTCTGCAATGACTGCACAATAAATCCCTGAATCACAATGTGGTTTTTCACTGAAGTCAGCACATTCCAATTTCGACATACACATTTTGGATTTCTCTTTGCGCGATGAACACTTTTTTTGCAGCACATAAGTGTTAAACCATTTTATAAATTGCTTCAAACCTGCTGTCATATAAGAATGTCAGTTTAACACTTAGGCTTTCGCGACCAATATTATTCATAATAAAGCTTTTTGGGTTAGAACGCGTTATTTATAAATGTGTCGCAACCCTCCACCACCCGCCACGACCAATCAGTAATAAATGTGTCACGTTGACAAAATACATTTGTATATGCATAATAACGCGATCTAACCCAAAACCGTTGTTATTAATATAAGAATGTATTTTTTCGTGCAATGAAACAATCAGCACATCAAACATTTTTTTACTTCCCACCTTGACGATAAGAGCTGCCACCCCTGGTATTAGCTGCTTACATCCAAATCAAGAGTCCATCATGGTAAATACCATCATGCAACTACATCTTGTAATCAAATTGCTCCTTCTGTCAGATCACTGAGACCATTGGGCAATTGATACCCTGTCCATCAATGTCTGCTCTTTCAGTCTTCTCACCGTCACCGCCAGTCTGGCTTTAGGTCACCCCCTGGGTCAATGACATCTGGATGCCACTCCCAGGTCCTGTCCCGGGAACCCGGCTGTCCAGCACGCATGTCCCACCCATAACCTCTTATTTTTCCATTACATCTACAACAATGTCCTGCCACATTTTATTCCAAACCACGTGGTTGCGCTTACCCTGCAAACTATTTTCTATAAATTAATGGCTACGAATGGATCAATTACTTACAAAAAGCTGAGAGTCAGGTGATTTGCAATGTTTCGTTTTGTAAAAAAAAAATACCCGGGTATAACATTACAAGCACAATGGCTTTTACTCGCAAACATTGTTTAAAATAATCACATTTAAAAATATTCTCTCACAAAACAAGATTGCTTCCACATATATTGTCCCACCAACCAGCCTGCTCTCTCGCCTATATCCCTGCTCAAAGAGATGCAGTCTTGCATCGCGGGTCAGTTACGAGGCTAGAGGCCTGGGGAAAAGAAATAGCTGATAGCAACGAGACATATGCATCATCTTTGCGGTGGTCGATGCAAACACGCAACATTTGTTTCACGGAAATGTAGAAACGTTGGTCTGAATACAAAACATCCCCGCAAAATGTTTGTGAATGAAGGCTTGAACGCTAATCTGCATCTGGTGTCTCCGCTGGGGCTGTTTTCTCGTAACACAGACGAGCCAAGCATGCATCCACTGAGTCAATAGACTCGGCCATTAGGTGATTAGTTCGCTTTCATGCGGGGCCCATTACGTTGATGAGCCCCTGGTTAGGGAATGCCCACAAAGGACTATGGGGACAATGAATCATTCATTCAATTATTTAATTAAGCGGTCGATACGATGATCAATCCATCACGCGGTCTGATAATTATAATCAATCAGAGCAAATGTAACTTGCGTATGTAACACGGTACGATGACGTCTTGTGGGAGGATTAGGGATGCGGTACTGACGGGAGGTTGGGAGTGGGTGGATGCGATGGTGCGGGCTACCGAGTTTTGGCAGAACAAGAGGGAGGGGGGGTTTTGTTGGCCAGAACGAGACCTCTTTAATCATAAAATATATTTAAAAAATCAGGACATTGTGCATTGTATTGCTGCCACGTAGGATGTTTGTCCTGCAGTGCTCGTGTTTTATACTTTCACCCGTAACATTAATTGTATTTAACGATACCAAAGTGAAATTGAAACCAGTCCAAGGTTTTGCAAAACTAAGCAAATGACACTACGATGCATTGACGTGGAAGTCGAAACACAAATGAAAAACAACTGGTAACACTGTTGTAGATCCAAAACAAACACAATTTTAGCTTTGTTACTGAGACAAGTTTACCTCCAAATGTTAAGCTTCTTCATTGCGAAATGATTCATTTCTTAGGTAAAACGTTTGGGTGCAGGCCTATGCTGTCGTTCCCTGCAGAGACGTCAAATGAAGTGCAACTGAATTTCGATTTAAAGCTTTCGTGACTGCAAGGATTCATCTTATTTTGTTCTTTCGGTAAAGTCACCGCGTAGAATGAGAATATAATAATAAATTGATAAAATAAAATAACACAATAAAATTCTGTCTGGAGGACAGCGCTGTCCTCCAGACAGTCTCGTCCCTTCACCTGATGAAGGCCGCTTGTGTTGTGGCCGAAACGTCGTGAGAATATTATTGTGTTATTTTATTTTATCAATTTATTATTTTATTCTCATTCTACGTGACTTTACCGAAAGAACCAAAGAAGATGAAGTGCAACTGGTTTACGCTACACGAGAGAGTCCGAGTGGAACGTGGGAAGAGTGCAAAGGCAAAGATCCGCCGTATAGCCTCAATAGACTGTTGGGGCAAGTGCTGTTAGCGAGCACGTATGAACGCATTGTACACGAGGGGGTGGGTGACCAGCGCCACGCCCGACCGCCTTTGTCTCCACAGTTGCGATTGTTTGTACACACCGCACCAGGTACTCATTTGAGGCTGAGTCGACCTAGGGGCTGCCCAGAACCGGTTCAGATAATCGTCACTGGTGTTGGGCCACCGGGTGACCAGGCGCAGTGCGCTACCGCCCCTCGCAAGAAGCGTGCACTTCCCCCTGACACAAGCATGAGCCGAGTCATCGGCTCTTCCTACTACACGGTGAAGCAACCACGCAACTTCCATTATCATCATCGACAGCCACTGTAACAATGCCGAGTGACTCGATGTGTCGGTGCTCGTGAGCAATCTCCGTTCATAACGATGAGAGCCACGTGAACTTGCTTACATCAGAGTGCGTGGGTTTGCGCGGGCTGTCCATGCATGTTAGTCTGCGGAGCCCAGCGCATTAGAATGGAATATGAACCCCATAATGGTGTCATTACTATACTCGAGCCAGGAGCCAGAGTTTTAGCTGGATGGCAATTGTGTTCGATACATATATTTGAACTGCCAAATTGTAGTTGTTGCTTTGATATGCAAAAATATACCCATTTTGAATGATAAACTCTCCCACTGACAATAGAAGGACAGAGCTGTCTCAACACCAACTGGGACACGATACAGAGTGGGGCAAAAGGGAGACCATGGGGTTAGACAGAGAGACAAAGGCAGATGGAGACGCAGGGCAAGACAGAGATAGACGCAGATACACAAAGACAGATGCAGCAACCGCCGTTCGCCACTCATTGTCAGTGACGTCCGGGGGCGCTTGTGCCAGGCTAGATGCAGCAATGCAGGGAGACAAAGAGACGGACAAATATAAGTACATAGAGAAACACTGACAGAGAGATAAACATGGGGGAAACACAGAGGCGGTCTATGTATGGTGAACTTTTTTCGCACCGTATGTCGCCAACTGTGCTAATCGGAGTTGCGAGGGAAGGACAACAAACTAATCACAAAAAAAGCAGTTCTAATGAAATTAGTTTTCAATATAGACGTAAAAGTGCATTGCTCAGTGGCTTCTTAATATTGGAAGGAAGAGCGTTCCAGACGGCCGCAGAAACGCATCTGGAAACGCGCGATGTGGTGACCGACTTTGTCCGGTGGTCAGCTAAAATCCCCTGCTGCTGCGAGCATGGCCGGTGTTCACGTGTCGGCTTATGAGATCAGCAGTAAGGTATTGTGGTTCATTTGTGGTTAGCACTTTGTGTGTGTGTGTATATGTATATAGTAGAGCGCATGGATAAAGACACGGAGACGGACATAACAAGAGAGACGCGGAGACACAGAGAGCGAAGAAGATACAATGAGACACGGACAAGCAGTGCCGGATTATCCGAGTAGCAAAAGTAGCTACAGATGCTACGGGCCCCGTAATTTTCAAAGGCCACCGCGCTAAATGCTTTCAAGCTATCAATTCCGGTTTAGTGATTCTGCACTTGCTCTATTACTAAAGTACTATACTGCCTTCAACTTTTATGAACGACTGGGTGTTTAAAGGTTAGCGATTTGTCGTATATTTGGCTGTATAGCAAATGAAAAAATACAATTAGTTTACTATGCAAGTAAAACATATGTGTTTTAATATTTGTGTTTTTTTTTTATTTAGGGCCCCTTAATAACATATGCCACAGGCCCTGCACTAGCTTAATCCGGCACTGCGGACAAGGACAATGTTGCGCACCCTACACAAGTGCGCGGTTCACGTGCGCGTTCACGTGCGCGCTCTGCACACGGAGTTAGCAGTGAGCACGTGCGCGGCCGCTGGCTGTGTGGGGTCATCACGTGGTTGTTGCAGGCCACGATGATGTGCTCTGGCTCCGGCATGACGGTGCTGCGTGGCGCGACCAGGGTGTCGCGCGGGTGCCCGGCCAGGCGGTACGACGAGAAGAGGCGGTAGTACTGCTCCATGCACAGCGGGTGGCCTGAGAGCTGGCCCCGCGCAAAGTCCTGTGGCAGTGCACGCCTGCGTGTGCGTGTGTGCGCGAATAGGAAGCGGTGATTGTTGTTGTTTTTAATGCACAGCGTTCTTACCTTAGCAACCGACGTTCGATTTCTGGCCACAGATAGGGTTCGAACGGATCCTGGGTCTCCTATCTAATGACCAAGCTTTTTAACTCTGGTGTTTTTGCGCACGGATATGTGTTCAGGAGCTCAATGCCACCAGTGTCGAGGTCTGCGAGCCTTGAGATGGCTTCAGAGGATATTCCTCTCGTGGCTGGACGACCTCGACATTAGCCTTGAATGAGTACCTGGTAAGGTGTGCGCATGTTAACATTAGAAATGGGCAAACAAAGGTGGTTGGGCGTGAATCTGGCCACACCAGCCCATTGTGTGTCGTGCTGGCCTTTATATGTCCTGGCGAACATCACTTGCACCAATGGTATATATTGCTATTTGAGAGATATTTATATTGGTATGGCATTTTAAATCTATGTACTGCATTAGGGTGTGTGTGAGCATATTTATGGGAGTGTACGTTGTCTAAGGATATTGGAGTTGACTGTACATGGGAGTATGAATGCGAGTAAGGGCAGGACAGTGGCTGTATGGGTATGAGAGTATGTTTCTGTGTAGATGAGCTGTGGGATTGTGAGTTTGTGTGTATAGGCGAAATTCCACATTCCATATTCAAAAGCCCACATTTCATAATTTCGACAACCACTGTTGGCTTAATTCTAGATTTGAAGTTTTCGTGACTGCAAGGATCCATACTCTTTGGTTCTTTCGGTAAAGTCACGTAGATGAAAAATGAAAATAATCATAATGAAAATAATAAAATGAAAATGAATAAATTAAATCACGACGTTTCGGGCTCAACACCAGCGTCCGTCATCAGGTGGGAAAGCATGGTCTGCTGCCTACACTAAGTGATGGAGTGTCACTGGGTGGTACTTATTGATAAAGATGATGATGATAATAATAATGGTGATGATTCAACTCTGGTCAGGATTTTAACTTGATCTCATTACTGGGTGCCCTGTTGCTCCGATGATGATCAATGTAAAACAAGACCATTGGAATCCAGCTTGGAGGTCGAGAAGAACTCACGCATCAATCACCACCTTGTAGTCCAGGATCCCTGAGATGAGCCGAGCAGCGAATCTGGACAAACACACACATGGAGGAGACATGGGGGGCGAGCCACGCCATCGTCAAGGGAACTCCTCCAATTACTGCATTGTACCTCTGTACTAGTAGGCATGAATGTTTAAATAACAAAGGGCCATCTATATATCTACATCAGCTCAAGCCTCCCGTAATTCGCGTGACTTCTGTGTGACCACTCACACTCTGAATTCCTTCACTTGCCCTTCTCCCTGTGAAAACAGTCGCTGCTCCGCGCAGCTCAGTTCTGCTCGATCTCCTTCCTTCTCTCTCTATCATCTCCTCTCATCATCCCCAAGAAATTTTATTTTCCATCAACTTCATAACGGCTTTATTGGTTTGTTTGTAGTGTATCGTCATATTTACAATCACATTAGACTATTTGCCGTAATCGTGGTGCGTGAGAGTAAATAATTGTTACGTTAATCATTGACTATTACTTATTAAAGCAACGGTTAACATATACATGTTTTAAAATATAATATAACAACATTATATCAGATGTAAGACATTGATTTAAAACAAAAATGAATACAAGTGTGAACTACTGTTGCTTACGTAAAATTTCAGATGAATTAATGTGTTTATTTAATTACTGCAACCTTCCAGATCAATCAGCAATGTAAATGTCAGAACTGCACACATCCCCATCTTGTAGGGATTATTGATATGTAGCTGTATTAAGATGGTATATAAACCCAACGTATTGCTTAAAGTAGGAGTCATGCATGCATCATGGTGTATGAGGTAACAGTGGAGTTTGCCGCGAAGCCAAAGCCATATCACTGACATCATGCAGAGGAGCTGTCCTTGGTACTGAATTCCTACATCCGGATACATTATGCATGTATCTGTGTTTTGCATTGAAGTAAAACCCGTTTGTAGATTTACATAAGTGTGCATGTGTTTGCTCCCAATCACATACAGACGTAAACTCGAATGATCGTACTGTTTAGAGGCCTTGGTCAATGCACTGCTGGATAAAGGTACACCAGTGTGCAACCAGTGCACCAGCAGTACAGGAATACATAGATAATTATATTCGGCACAAATACAGTTCACTCAATGTTTATATTTCTCAATGTAAGGCCACGTGGAAAATCATTAACTCGGTATGCATTGTTTGTGTGTTTTATACTGGGGGTGTGCTTGCCTGTGTATACATGCGTATGTCTGTGATTGCAATGTAGTCTGTGTGCAGTTCCACACCGGAGTTGGTCAGCCTGGTCTCGGAAAAGCTGCCTTGGCAGAACCATCCCCGGGTTAGAGTTGACGGGCAATGGTACTCGATTGTCAAGATACATGTCGTTGAGCCACCACTCATACACCTGCACGCACGCATAAAGACAAATATCCCGTTATAGCCTTAAACAGACTTTTGTGCAAAGTCATGTTAGCGAGTACGGTACACGAGGGGGTGGGTGGCCAGCACCACGGCCGACCGCCTTTGTCTCCCCAGTGGTGACGTTGACACATGACACCGGATACTCACTGAAGGCCTTAAATAGGTACCCAGATGTAAAATTGTCAACAAATATTTTGTAAAAACAGGTGTGGGTGCTGGACCACCCACCTGGAACACACGCTCGCTACGTGTCTCCACCAACACGTTAACCCAGGATGAATAACAAATCTCTGAGTGTTGATTTTGGGAATTTTTAAATTACTTTCACTTAATCAATCTGTGCGTGACTGCTGAAGTAGCAATTAATTACTGTGTACACATATACGTGACCTGCTTGCCCTGTTTATGGGGATTGCCACACAATCAATGTGATTAACACAGAGTTAATTGCAATTTAATGGGCATGCTAACAAGCGCAGTTCTGCTGACTAATTATGTTATGAGAGTCAAAGAGAGCGAATTATGGATATGGCAAAACAAAGCTAATGACGCAGGCTGCTTTCATTAGTTATCATCTGTAGAATCACAATTGAATGACCTTTTAAAAGAACATGAGGAACAATAAATAAGTGGCTATATTTGCAACAACAAAAATAATGCAAATTGTGAGATACTTTGTGTACATTATTTAGTTTCAATGAGAAGCCAAATTGTGTGCAATTGATCAAAGCTCGGTTTTAATCAATAGATAATTGATGAGTTACTAAAATTGTACAAGTACCTTTATTTAGATCAACGACACGAGCTGAGGAAAACATCAATGCATTCTATAGAAAAGGATAAACGAGCGATACATGAATAAATCACGCACAGCAAGTATTTATCTTGGTAAATATAAATTGTAAACATTTAGCCGGGCGGTGTTGGCGCACGCCTGTAACCCAGCACTGTGGAGGCGACAGTTGGTGGATCACAGAAATTAAAATAATCTCTTTGCGTGGGCGTCGAGGAGATGTAGAGGACCGCAGAACTTGGGGGGGAGGGGAATTTGGTGCCAACTCACTGCCTCGCTGCTTTCCCTGATTGGCTGTGATTCCTCGCGCCTCTGAGTCGTCTCTCTTTGAGAGTGAGCGGATACTTGCGCGTTACAAGTTGAAATATTATTACATTCGTTAACCTCTCACATTTTCCGCGAAATTGCCTGACATGTTTTGTTTTTCTCGGAGAAGGGTTGCCCTTGTTAATTCATTCAAACCCATGTGACAACTCGAGCCAATCATGGAAGTGTTGTAATTCATAATTTCCCATTTTAAAACTGTATTTGAACGATTTTGGAAATCCAAATGCACATTATTTCAAGATTGTTCCAGATAACCTATGTTAAACAGAATATCATACACTTAGCATAACCACTTTTTATTACTTCACACACCTTGCACGTCAGTGAAACTGACATCAAATTTACCTACCACCCTCACAACTCCACCCATCCATTCCAGTATATTAATATGACACGATACTCTCTGGAAACCTTCGATACATTGCGATCTTCCATTCCTTTCATTTACAGCAATACTCCATGTAATGCTTGCTTAGCATGTCATCCCGTGTATTGACTGAAGCAGTGGCTGCTTCACATTGCATTTAAATAATGCCACGAGGAATATTTTCACAGTTGTTGCACCGTTGATTTTCAGATTAAGGTCAGTTGCCCAGCTGCCTCACGGTGGCGAGATGTTAGCTACCTCATCTGGTATACAGAAGGTCGTGGGTTCAATCCCGACCCTAACACCTGTATATTTAGAGTTTACATGTTCTCCCCGTGGTCGCATTGCTTTTTTTCTCCCGGTCCTCTGGTTTCCTGACATTTAGAAACATGCGTTTAGAGTATTTATCTGCTGTCAATTTCTACATAAACCACTTCGTGGAGCTATCATTTGTGGCCAGGTCGCTTCTGAAAAAGAGCTATATAGCTCAGTGGGCCTTACCTGGTAAAATGAAGGAAAAAAAACAGTAATAGTCGTTATACAATAACCACTGTTAACTTCCCACAAAAGTTGTATTCATTGCATGGACTCAGGTCAACCCTGAGCCAAGATGTGAACTAGGACCATTCTAACTGTGATCGGATTGTGCTATCCATAGCCACCACCTGGCCAGATGTTATAGCTCAGTAGTGCGCGTGTGTTTTCCAAATTGCAATGCATGCATGTGAAACCTTGGTGATCGATGTGGCAGGATAGCGGAAAGTTTTTGAACTGTGGTGCTGGCGAAGATAATGATCACATATCATGTGGATGGCAAGAAAGAAAAACCGAATACACGGAGACTAAAGTATGTGGGACACATAGCTTACAGATGTGATGAGAGAAACTTGGAGAAGCTGCTGATGTGTCGTAAAGTGGAAGGAAAAAGAAACAGAGGTAGACAGAGACTAAGCTGGACAGATTAATCTTGTAAAATTAACCGGGAGGACAGTTGACAAATGTTATAGCAAAGCACCAGTGGCGTAGTAGTTACATTATCAGCTCAGGGGGAGGTGGCAATCGGTCAGGTGGGGCCCCACTATTTATTTGTCTGACACGGTCGCACCTAGGCTAAATATCGCCACGATATATAGCCTAATTGAATTAAAATAAAAAGTGGAACGTAAATGAAAGCATGTTCATACAAATAAATGTAAACCACGTTTTAAATACTTTTTTTGTTTTCCACTGTTGTTGTTGTTGAAAACAAATCTCATGGTGCTTGTCAAGGGGGCCCCCAGCTCATAGCTTTGGCCACCCGGGGTGGGGGAAGGGGGGGGGCAAGGCACCCCCTGCCCCCCACGCTAGTTACGCTGCTGCAACGCACAACATCGGAGAAATCGGAACAGCTTCATCATCGAGGTCACAAATGCTCAGCGGTGAGAGGCGCACGAGCGCGCGTGCGTGTGTGCGTGCGTGCGTGCGTGCCTGTGTGTACGAGTCGACACCCACCCAGTTCGTGTGCTGCGTGCGTCGCTCCACAAGAGCCCTTTGCAGACGCTCCCCGTGTCCCCCCGGGGCCCCAAAGCGCTCCACCAGCACCTTAGTGCGCCGGAACTGTTCCGGGGCCACAAGGTGCCGCATGCAGTCCAGGTAGCGCCGCAGGGTGTCGGACAGAGGTGGCACGGGCAGCAGTGGGATGGCCTGGCGTGGGTGGGTGGGTGGGGGGTGAAGAGGCGCGTCAGCAGACCTAACAGAGAATGACTTACGAAGACGTAAGATATTCGTGCCAGAAGGACGTAGCGCTCCTTGAGCATCTTGGCACAGAGACAGAGGAAAGTGGAAACAAATGACGGCGTGTGCAGTGGACACCGATGGGGTATCTGCCCATGGATCGTGGTGATGATGATGATGACTATAAAGAGTGCAACGCTGTATCTGTCTCAGGGCCCATGTGCTGGAAGCGCCCACGTGCCAAGCTACGTACAGGAGACCAAATTGTATATGCTACACCAGGGCCAATACCATCTACACTATGCCACTGGCCTTATGCATACGAAAGCTGCTGATGTCCCCATTATCCCGAAGCCCCTCCCTCCAGCAATCCGTGCTGTCTACTCCGTGCACCTGTTGAGGTCCAGGATCAAGATATAACTCTTCCCTGCATATGACTTTCTCCTACGCATGATATGTCTTATGTTTCTAAATGCACATATATTCAATCTCTTTTTGTAAGTTTTCCCTTGGTGTGCATGTCCATATTTTGTACAGTTCCTTTAGATACATCTGCATTAAGACACCTATACATTCAAATTGTATTCATCAGGGGGGTTGTGTAGATGGTAGAGGATGGATTGGAGAGCTAGAGGTCTAATTCCTATGGCTCAACATTTTCACCTGGAGTATAGTGTCTCGAACGATCCTGACCTGTCATAGGGGATTATTGTGACATTTCATTGTTCAGGCCCCTCCAAATTACCCACCTGCCCCTCTATTGCATATCAATCCATCCGCATTTAATTCAATCAATGTCATTGTTATTTTAACGCAGTGATTAGATTACTCCGAGGCCCCATCTCTCCCAATGAGAATTCCGTGTCCTGCTCTGATGGGTCACAAAAACATTTAAAATCGCAATTACTATGACAATAATTTACTATATACTTTGGGTCTTTCGGTAAAGTCACGTAGATAGGTTCAAAGAAAATAACAAAATAACAAAAAACTACGACGTTTCGATCTCAACACAAGCGGTCGTCATCAGGAACGTATACTCTTCGACCGCTTGTGTTGCGATCGAAACGTCGTAGTTATTTTGTTATTTTCTTTGAACCTATCTACGTGACTTTACCGAAAGACCCAAAGAATGTGAATTCCTACAGTCACGAAAGCTTTAAGTCAATAATATACTATGTTCATCCAGGAAAGGCTCACTTAGTCTCCAGAATAGTTTAAGGAACATACTCACACTGAGATATCTGGCCAATCCCTTTAGGTGTGTTTGAAATGTGGACGGACACCAGAAGCCCCACAGACATCCCATTGACACGCTCATAACTATGTACAGATATAACAATTCACAGTGCATGATAAGATCATTTTATACAATTATACACATCTACATGTACAGAAAATCGCATTTAATCCAAGCCAATTTACATGACAGGAAATGTATTTTCTTTAATATTGATTTTTCTTTGCACTGTATTTCCAACGTCTCATGTAATGGCATACTTATTGCTCTGATTATCCGTGTTCGCCATTGCTGTACTTTCTATTAATTTATTGTTTTTGTAATTGTGTTGACCCAGGTCACTCTTGCAAGTTAGACTATCTGGTCTGTCAAGTTCTCACCTGAATTAAAAAAATAAACTTGACTCTACTTAATATAATGTCAGTGCACTTAAAGAGTATCATCGCAGCTTCCTGGATTCAAGCTTGGAACTTTAAAATTTGTGCCATGATTTCTGTAGGTCAAATGTCCTATTTGTTCTTACGTAAATCAAAGTACATTTTCAACTTTATCGTGAATGAATATGAAGCGGTATACTAGACACAAATATTAAACCATTTGCGGTATACGGTCCTTGAATATACAAATATGAATGTATATCAAGCTCATGGCAAACCTGAACACTGATTTAGTTTGGCCATGACCATGCTTGTTAGTTGATATGAATGTATATCAAGCTCATGGCAAACAGCAAATGCCACCTACTCTCTCCTCTGCTGTCCCACCTCCTCACCCTTTACCTGGCTGTCTCTCCTTCTGGCCTCCTTCGATGGCTTCTCGAGCACGGGCATGGTGTCTCCCACCACTGCAGCACCCGGCGGGTTATTGTATTCCTGCAGCAGGCACATGGGCACAAACAACATCACACATCGATCATTAATGCCCTCCGCTGTGAATTCGTTTGTTGTCCTTCCTCCGCGCCTCCGCTTAGCATGGTTGGCTACGTGCGGTGCGAAAGAAGTTCAACGTACATGCATACAAACACGGAGGTCAATAATAGGTGGCCAACGTGCCCAACACTGAGAATCCATCCCACACTCGGGATAGCCAGCCACCAACTCATACCATAAAGTATTTCATTTTATAATTCGTTCCTGCCATATAAAATGTGTAATTTTCACCACTGGCCCAGGGCCATCAGTGGTGCTGATCACGACCCAATTTTTTTGTCGCCTCGGGAGATGCTTTGACCATGTGATATACACAGTAAGTACAACATATGAGGATAAAGATCCCCCATTTAACCTATAAACTGCCAAAGAAAGTGATGTTAGTGAACTCCTATTAAGGCAGACATTGCCCATGATAGGGTGGTGAAGCCAGCACGAGATCTGCCCACCTCTGTCTCCTCCATCGTACTGTTAGCTCCATATCAGGAAACTTATTTAGGCTGAATCTACGTAGAAGAGTCGCAATTCACGTTCATAAACCAATTACCAGTATTGGCGTGGCACGGTCAGAAACAAACCCACGAGTCTGACATCAGAGGAAAATTTAAATAACGCTGACAATCGCACGCGCACACGTCCATTTATTATCTAGGTATACAGAATTGCAACACTCGTGTCGCGAACGGAACATACCCTCCCTCATTGCGTTGCTTTAATCCCTTGAGATGAAACACCCGTAATGATGCTATTAAGATAGTCCTTACTGAGCCAAGAGGCTTACAGCATCTGTATAATTTCTGTACTTACTGGTGTGTTTATATAACTTCATGCTACTGAATGCGCATCATTATACAGGTTTATTTCTCACGTTTTGCTAGCATATAGAAACATGCCGAAATATATTAGTGTTGTGTTATGGTGTTACATGCGTGTTATGTTCGTCCATGTGATGGTGCGTAATAGAAGTGTGTGTGCGCTGGAGCCTGTGTGTAGGGATGATTGCATCTTTGGGATATTTCCATGATATTGTGAAATCTAATCTTGTGAATAACAACAGGGGGATGGATTAGAAAAAAAAAACGAAGAGGCAGGACAGGCAATATACTGAGCCTATCACATATAAAGTGTTACAACCACAATTGTTCATATAAACTGCTAAATAATACAATTCGGGAGGTGGCACCATCCACTCTGGACCCCCTTGCCAATGACATATTCATCTCGAGGGGTGATCCATATTAAACATTTTAATTAATAAAAGCCAAAGTCAAACCGTCTCCCTGCTCAAAAGAGCCATGGGGTGATGCTCATCCATGTTAGCAGCACTTTGCCGGTGGTGGAAATTCTACATTACTATGGTGGGAATAATTCTCTCCACTGCGCCACCACTGTGGATTTACCACATCGCTGTTCTCATTCATTCATCTCTGTAGGGATGACTGACTAAATTGACGTTCATCTACTGTCAAAAATATGATGGACCAACGGTTATTTCATTGCGGTGAAACAGAACACAAATCCTTTCTAGTATAATTATATTTTACCCAGAACCCACTATCATGGAACCAAATATACGAGGTGATTCATTTATCGATACCCCCCGCGAAAATAACTGGGATAAATTATAGAGAAAACAACATTTAATTCATGGCCTCTACACGTGCACATGTATGTGTGTTTGAACGTGAGCTGAGTGAACTTGCCGATGATTGGTACCAGCGGTGTCATATCAGCCTCTATGGAGGTGGGTTGTGAAGGACGCTACTGGGCAGTCGCCCTCCAACAACAATGGAGGGAAGAGGAGCGACACTCACAACAACGAACGGAGTGCCGGGCGGATAAAATACAGCAAGTTGGCACAGTAGGGGGCACAGCTGGTGGTTCTGCCAGTCATCTCCGTCAGTCAACCCATGGCACCTGGGTCTGTTCCATGATCTCCTGTCAGCGAGCCTTCGACACTTCACGTGGCCTCAGACTGCACATGGCCTGGCACAAGCACCGTGCTGACGTCACCGCGAGTGGCAGCTGGTGATGTTGAAGCGGTAGTGTCGTGGTTAGTGCTCTGTGACGCAAACCCGGCGACCCGAGTTCGATTCCCGCTCACAGCCAACACCAGTGACGATTATTTTTGTAATGATCATGGGCCTCCCCTAGGTCGACTCAGCCTAAATTACTTCCTGATACGGTGTGTAAACATCGCCGCTTGGAAGACAAAGGCGGCCGGGGGTGGTACTGGCCATCCACACCCTCGTGTGCCGTTCCGAACTTCATAGGCGCTGCTCACTAACAGCACTTGTCCCAACATTATGTTAAGGCCATAAGGTGGATCGTTTGTGTGTGTTTTTTTTTATTTATGTGAATTTATGTTAAGTTTTAATCACGATACAAGATTTTTTACAGTGTTACATGCAAATGTACAATATTTATTTTATTCATACGTTAAACAATGCTTCCCTTTTTTGTTGAACCTGAAACACATTTCATAACACTGACCGTATGGGTATTGAAATACAATGTATTCTTGTTTTCCCACTGACGAACCGTTCGACTGGCGAACGCGTCTCAGGAACGGAACCCGTTCGTAAGTCGAGGACTGCCCGAACGCTTGAAAACTGCATTACTGCAGTTTTCAGATCCTGCCAGTAGTAGGCAGCTGGAGGCACCCTGACAGTGAAACATCGCTGCATGCAGGCGATGTGCAGAGTGAGCTCCTCAGCAGTAAAGCAGGACATAACTGTGTTAATCTTTTATTGATACTATTTGGTTCTTTCGGTAAAGTCACGTAGGTATAAAATAAAATAAATCACGACGTTTCAGGCGCAACACAAGCGTCCGTCATCAGGTGCTTTGTCACTTGATGACGGACGCTTGTGTTGCGCCCGAAACGTCGTGATTTATTTTATTTTCTACCTACGTGACTTTACCGAAAGAACCAAAGAGTATGGATTCCTGCAGTCACGAAAGCTTCAAATCAAAATCTTTTATTGGTATAGGTAAGATAGTCACCCTAGCTTGTCATACATAACGTTTACACATATTATAAGTAAACCGCCAGGGACATTTGTAAGCGTTATGATGGGTTCATGTACAGGATAACTCATCTTATCCGTGGTGACGTGGGGGATCAATGTCGCGGATTATATTATGCACGGGGTTATCCACGAGGTTCAAGATTTGCGGATAATTGGATGAATTTGCCACGCGACTTGAAGCAAAAACAAGGATCCATAGCGAAACAAGTTGTGCCACATTTTCATAAGTGCCTTCCTTCATCGCGTAACTACATTGCTTCCGTTGCACGAATTGTTTAGAACCTTGCGAGGATGGACGCTACCTCGTCACTAGAATGCTACAGATGCAGGCGAACATCGCCCACATGTTGAGACTTGGAAGAGGTCTGCACGGAGCAAAACATCAACCGATTGGAGTGTGTGGGAGTAATGGTTAATAATCCCACGTGATCCCTCCTCCTCGTCTGCCGAAACGGGGCCACTGCACGCCCATTAGTCCACGCGTGTCGCGTGTGTATGATGTAATTAGGAGCAACGGGGCCTTAATATTGTAATTGAATCTCACCCATTCGCAATGTACGGTCTAGGTGCACATAGAGTTCTGTACAATATGACGAAACAATCAGAAACGTAAATAACAAAATATTGTGACCGAATATTTAGCCAAACAAATGCGCGAACTGTTTGCCAGTTAATATGATCACCAGGATGAATGTATCCACGGCTATTTGAAAGCCTCCCCAATGCTGTCATCGTCCCGCAATGGCCAACAATTGAACTCATTCCCGCACTTAGACTGGCATTGCCACATCTCCACGGTGGCAATGTGCTCTCTCGGGCACAGTCTGTCTCGTGGCTGCCGTTCTCTCTCCGATTAGCACGGTAGGCTACGTACGGTGCGAAATAAGTTCAACGTACATGCAGTACATACATCAAGGCCATAGCCATGGAGTCAACATTGAGGGGGGGGGGACCAAATCTTCCAGGGTGTCTGGGGGTCCCAACCCAGAAAAAATATCTAAATTTGAAAACTAATTTCCTGCCTAAAATATAAAAAAAAATCACTAACACATGGGATGGACTTTTTCTTTATTTTTGACAATAATGTCTAATAGTGTATATTGTATTAGATCGCTCTATTTTTACTTTTTTACCATTTTCTTGTTTCATTGTATGTAATGGCAGAGATTAGGGATTAAGAAAGAACAACCATAACCACAATCATATAAACATAAATCTATGCATTGATTTACATGAAGGCAAGTCCAGATATTGTGGCCAAGGTTTAGCAAATTGTTGTTTTTATTAACATAGCATAGCAATAATTATTTTTAAGCAATATATTGGGGGGGGGGACATTTTGAGCATATTTGAATATTTGGGGGGATATGTCCCCCCCAATATATATTATAATTACGGCCTTGACATACATACTCTCTTTGGGCTGCTATTCTGTCACCAGCCGTATTCGTTGCCCGCAATTCTTTCTAGCGATGTATCCTGTTTAAGCCTGCGTTGACTTAGTTTAACACGTAGGCTTTCGCGACTAGTATTATTTATAACTAGCCTTTTGCCTGTCCAAGGACGGGTGTATTTCAGTAAATCTGAAACTTTCAAGCGAAAAGCAGACCGTGACGTGATAGTCATTGTATCCATTCGTGTGCAATTTGTAAGGGCGCGGTGACACAGACTTATTTCATTTAAAGGTTATAATCCCATTTCATCATGACGTCCTTTTTACTTCTATGTCTCAACAACAGCGTCACGGAGATCGCGTGACGTGAGGGTTCTGCCTTCGTAGTGAGGGTTGTAAGTGGAGTGACGTCAGCCGCTAATTACTATGAATGGGGGGGGGGTGTCCATTTGGAGGACGTCACCTGCTCATGAATATTAATGAGGGGGGCTGTTCGATGTGGAGAGACGTCACGAGCG